AATTTTTATTCAATTAAAGTGCAAAAATCATCGCCATTTTCATGCAGCAACTGTTAATGGCCGCCCCCCTTTCTCAGAGTATATTTGTGTGCGTGTGTGTGTTTGGGTGTTTGTGAAAAAATGCGCCGCTCAAAAATACATATTCAAATTTAATTTGAAATTACTGCACGCATTTAAATAATTGTGATGCCAGCACAAGTGTAAAAAAGTGAAAAATTCAAATACTGAGAGGCAACAAATACAACAACAACAAATAGCAGGAAAATATAAAAAGAGGCAACCGCGCACGCAGCGACCAATGTAGCCACATCTAATAGGATTACGCGCTGCCCGACAGTTGCCGGATTAATAAAACAACTTAAATAGAAAACTGCGTGGCAAGGTAAGCCCGTGTCGTCACAGCCACACTTCACATCCTGTCTGTGCTGCAACAGGCGCTCTGATCCTCTGCTAAGTGTCCTTACGCTCACTCCAAACAGCCAACCGACCAACCAGGCAACCAGCGTGATTTGAATGAATATGGCCACTCGCTGGGCCATATGAAGTGCGGACAGGCGTAATTGTTAACTATAAGCACACATATTAATATCTAACTTGGTGCCATATTAATTGGCATCCGCTAACTGTTGGGGGCGGTTGTGTGGGGCGTGTCGCAGGTATCGGCAGTAAACTCCATAAACAACGCATTTTATTAAACCGAAACCCCGAATCCATTTGCGTTATTGCGTTTACGTGCACGAATGTTAATTGAAGCCAGCTCACCTTTACGGTGTAAGAGCAGCAGGAAAATATAGATATAACTCTATACATACTTATATATATACAGATATATACCGATATATACTCCATATACTTATAAATAGAGATTAGATAAATCGTCGATTGGTTTTCATCGTCGCTTTAAGCACATGAAATTATTAGCGCATTCTGCTAAACGTTATGCAAAAATGAATATTCATAATGAGGGGCCCGACCCCGCCGGGCGCGTTCGTTCAGTACACACATTTTGATGTGTGCTCGAAGCATGAAAGCAAATTACGCACAAAATAATTGACATTAGCATATTTTGTGCTCCCAACTCCTGAAGCCAGCTCCAGCTTCAGCTCCCGGCACCTGCGCCTGCAGACAGCGTCTCAGCTCTTGTTTTGATACGTCACACACATGGCGTATACGTGATATATGTTCGAGCGTCAGGTTATAAAGCGTCTAACTGCCTGGGCTGAGTGCCCTTTTTTAGCTGGCCCCCCAGTCACTTTGTCGGCCATATTTGTCTTGTACTTATACTATATACATACATTATATATATATATATATAAATATATATATGTATACATATAATTGTATGGCATATAATACTTATTTGATGTGTTTCGACTCGATTCGTTTTGGACGAAGTTTATTTACTTTCCATAGATATGGCCGCATGTGTGTTTATTTATTCAAGCAGCAATTGAAAAAGTGTTTGAATTGTTTTTTGCGTCTGTGTTTTTTTTTTGTTCCTTCTCTGCTTATCTTTCACTTTATCTGCTGCTATTCAGAACTCTCATAATCCTTGCACACACAAGTGGAAGGCGTGTAAACGATTCCTTTGGGCCATAAACACCACAAGCTCCCAGCGCAACTTAATCATTACAAATGAGCCGCACACAAACACACACACACACACACACAGTTAACACACACACGCCATTTATAGCTCGTTAGCAATTCCAAGTTGAGTCAAACGATTTGGCCAAGCATCAGCGCAGCGGGGCATGAGATGAAGCTGTAGCCGATGCTGAATCCTTGGCCTGATGGTCCTGATGGTCCCGGCCAGGCGTTAATTGCTCCGATTTGACCTGCCAGCGTTTTGTGGCCGCTTTGATTAGGTGTTATAAGCTATGGAGCTGAGCTCTTAACAATTTGTTTCTCTAAAGCTATCGAGTACGAGTATTTAATGGCTCCAAGGCACTTGGCCCTTAAAAACTTGGTCAAGTGTTGTTGCTATTGCTGTTGCACTGGCACATTTTATCAAAGTCAAGTTTCTGCTGTTATCTGCACGAAAATGTTTGCAGCTGAAGTTGATAAATGGATTTACTTTGATTTTATAGCTAAAAATCGATGTGTATGCTTTGTCTTGCATCCTTCCATGTCGCCGTAGTCCTTGCCATTTGAATGTCAGAGGCTAGGCCACCCACACCAGCCTACACGCACACACACACACACACGCACACACACACAATGCGGTGTCTCTACTCCACGTTTTTTTGCTTCTGTTTTTTACTTAGTTTTTTTTCTGTTTTGATGCGGTCAAAGACTTTGCCACTGACTCATCAAACTGCAGCAACAGCCACTGCGGCAAAAGGTTTTTGCTTTTACTTAAAAGGGTCTGGGAGGGGGGGGAGAGGTGGTTTCTTCGTTTTTGGCAAACCGAAATTGCACTTAAAACTGAATGGTCCAGCGCAGTTGAAGCGTGCAGCGCAAGATAATCTATGACATAAAATCACGCGACAGTTAAATGCCAGACAAAGGCGAAAGGCAAAAGGCGCACACAAAGGACAACTGCGACTGGCTAGCTGCAGTCCTCATCTGGTTGTCAGCTACTCAATCCCGTCCTGCTGCTGCTCCTCCTCCTCCCCCTTTGGGTCTCTGCGCGCCATTCAAATGGAAATTATGTGAAGAAAATTCGCATTTTACTTAATTTTTGCGCACGTTTTGATTATCTGCAAGACTTTCACAATTTGCATTTTGGCTCAATTTGTACAAATTTTTTGGCATTTTACTGTGACTCACATTTTTGCAGCTGTTCCGTTTTTTTCATCTAGCATTTTTTTGCTCTGCTGCCTTCGCTTGGCATTAGATGCGCGTACTTATGCTTGTCTGAAATCTCTTTTTGCCATGCTGTCAGCTTGTATTTATCATTTGCGCCTCATTAGTTTATGTCTATGCTGCTTGCGGCCATACTAAAGGACATTATTTATACACTCTTTGGACAACTGGCTAAACTCGGAGTTTATATGTCTCAAGCGCCCGGGTCATGAACTCTGCGGAAAGTTTCGTATCTCTTTTCTGGCTAGTTTAAGTTTAGTTTGCACGTTCGCCAAGTATTCCATAAATTCATTTTCCGGCTCAGACACATCTTTGAAATGCATATTAGCACAAAGATTAGTTCATGAATAATAATAGATTTTGTCACAGCTGCCGAAGCAACATTCATCCAGTTGTCCATTTATTGCGAGGGGGCTTATATATAAAATTGCTTTTCAGCTAGTTTTAATTGCCTGCCCAAAAGTACGCTGATTATCCCCGAAAGCGGGTGATGAGCACGAAAGAGTGCTCCAGTCGGGATTAGAGATGGGCATAGTCCGTGTTTTTCTACGTGGCATGACGGACCCGGGTCGCAAAACTTATTTCTTATCAACACGAAAATAACGATGAGGTCGAGCTATAGTCAAAACAATATTATCAGCTAAAACTTTCGATTCAAAGCTTTCAACTTTTTCGAAGAAACAGAGTTGGAAGTATTGGGATATTGAGTTTGGAAAATATACAGTAAAAGTCGATTCCGACATTTATGTTGTTTAATTTTGAAAAAAAAAACAACAGTAATTTATAACTTCTCTGCACCGTGATGGGCTGAGTTGGGTAATATTTCCCATTAGTGTTTCATAAAGTTAGTTTCGTGTTCGTTTTGGGTCTAGTCAGGATAGCACATTAGAAACTTTTACCTTAAACTAATTTGAAGAATGAAATATAAAATATGTAATATATTCGCAAGCTCTCACTCTTAGGATATGAATATTGTAAAAATTATGCTTGTGTGTGCACGCCTGTGAAATCTATGAAGGATTTGTGTGCAACTTTATTTCAAATTTCAATTCTGCAGCTCTTAAAATCTCTAAGATTCGAGAGATGCGTACATGCAGACGAATGGACAGGGCTCAATCGAATCTTCATCGATGCTGACCATAAATATGTGTACTTTCTAGAGTCGGAGAAGCCTTCTTCTGCCTGTAATATATATTTGCACAAACTAAGTACGTCCTCTTTAACCATTTTCAAGGTAAAATATTAGCTTAAGAGATTTGAACTCTTAAAGCTACTTAAAATACCTGGAAAATTCGAATTATCTATGATTAAGGATAATGCCATAAAGTATCGTGAGCTCATTTAAATATCCTAAGTGTGCGACCTTGGGAATATATAATATGATATATATTACCTTCCGAAAATTAGCTTGAAACCCCACTCAACTCAACAGCGTGTAAAAGCGCTTCGAAGTTTCTCACCTCGCATTTATTTGCTATTCAACTAATTAAATTCACTTTATAATCATTGCTGCCCCAAAAAGTATGCTAAAAGTTCTTGGAAATAGCTGCAAAAGTGCAAAGCGGAACATTTCTCATAATTCGAACGATTCACTGTAATATGACTGTCTGATAATATAATAAAATACGTTTAAGCGGTGCATTTGCCATAGTTTAACAACTGAGGCAGCTGCGATTGAAGCGGAAGCAAGCTCTAGAATGTGCTTAATGGCTGAGCAGACAAAAATCACAGTCAGCAATGCGAATCACAGTAAAAACTATAAAATAAAAATGCAAACATAAAAGTAAGCTGTGTTCTATGCTGATTTTATGACCACAGGAAGCCATCAAAAGGCGCCCAGGCGACTTGCTATGGAATTCAGCTCTTCTTCTTCTTCTACGGCTTCTGCAACTCGCACTTCTTGCGCTTTTGGTGTTGCATACCTTGAGGCGCGGGTTGTTTTAATTGCTTAATTACGTCTGCATTGCTGCCACGCCCCTGCGCCCCTCCCCAAGTGTGCAATGCTCAACCGATTTTATGGCCCAGCAAGCACTAACTGGCACATGGAGCAAGCGTTTATGATTGCCCCAAACAGTTCAACAGTTGCCCCGCCGCCCCTCAAGTGCCTTAAGTTGCGACATTAATGTGGCTGTACTCCATGGTTTTTGTGCTTGCAGCTGCCTCACCTGCGACAGGCTGTGCTGCGACTGCGACTGCGACTGCGACAGCTTCAACTTGAGCAGCTCTTCATCTCTCCACCTGCTACGATTAACTGCTTGCGACATGTGCTCAGCATAGCAGCATTGGATGCGCCGCAATGTGGACGTACATGATGGCTGCCGCCCGCGGAGATCGGGTCAACACAATGATGTCCAGCAGACGCCGCCCCGAGACCGAATCACCCAAATACGGTTACAAGTAAGTGGGAAAACAAACAGATTCGGTTGACAGGCATTATTTTCCATCTCGTTGAACAGCCTCTCCCGTCCGATGTATCGTACCACGCGTTTTGTTGGCCCCGCTGCCTCGGCACCCGCTCAGTTGCCCTACGGCAGCGGAGGCGGCGGCAGCAGCAGCACCAGTTCCAGCTGCAACACAGCTCAGCCGTTGCCCATGGCGCACGAGGAGCTCGAGATCAGCGGCGGCCTGTATGCGCCCTTCCAGCCGACGCTGGCGGCTGTCAGCATGGATGGCGTTTGCCTGCCCCGCAAGCATTTAATTGCCAACCAAACGGCGATACCCATGGGTCCAGACAGCGATGAGCTGGAGGAGCAGCAGCTACACTATCCACGCAGCAGCTGCAGCAGCAGCGGCTGGCTGCCTAGGCAACGCATTGAATTAGACGTCAACCAAGATGACGATGACGATGACGCTGACGACGATGAGGATGTGGATGATGATAATGATGATGTGGAGATGGCGGCGGCAGTTGGGCGTGAGAATGGGTTTGCTGACGCACGTGGCAAAGACAACCAGGAAGAGGCGATTGCCCCTGCCGACCAGAGATCCACACAGCCGCGTGCCAACGATGCCAACTATCTGGAAAATGGCAGGAAACTGATACAAGTAAGTCTTGTCAGGACATCGATACTATCTATCTCTCCATATATATACATATAAAAGCACCCATAAATCACGCGGCGTATGCGTAATTTAATATGCCATATGCATCAAGTACAGCATGCAAGCATATATTTAATAAAACGTGAACAGGAGAGATAAACAGCTTTAGATACGCGCATTTAATGCAGACACTTTGCTCATTTGTTGCATTAATTTCATTTCGTTTTGGCCCGGTCATAATTCCGAGGCCGTCAGCCTATTCAATTATGTGGGCCGTAATTAAGTAATTGCGCTAATTGATTGACGCCATCGAGAACGAAACCACGAACAAAACCACGAATAACAACAACAACAATAATAACAATAAAACACAATGCCACTTACCAAGCTGCGGGCCACAGCAGCAAGAGAGAGAGAGAGAGAGAGAGAGGGGGGGGGGGCACTTCCTACTCCCCATTTCTTTATTTTATTTGCACATTCACGAAACCCATGCCCGTGTATGGCTCCATGCAAATGAACTGCGGACCTTCATAAACTTGACCTTGTCGTAAATCGCGTTTTAATTACTTCCTCTATTGTCACGTAGCCGACGCGTCGGCCGATGCTCCATGCAACGTGCTCCGTGCTCCGTGCCCCGTGCTCCGTGCTCCGCGTTAAGCGCCCTCCACATACACCACGAACCACACTCCATTTCCAGGTTCCATGTTCCGTGCCAGCTGACTGCCATTTTTGTGGCCTCAGAAATTTTTATTAGCACGTGTCAAATTACTTGAATAAAAAACACGAAACACGCTGCAAGTTTGTGTAGCCGACGTTTTGCTACACTACACGAAACAAATAAATAACTAGGAGTCGGATTTTATCAGGGCTTTTGAGATTAAATGGTGCGAAGAATATTTGAGCTGGATGAATATTTTCATCAGTTATTTTTTAGTGGGAAAATTTTTAAAAATTCTAGAACACCTTTTCTATAAAGCGTATTTCTAGGTGTAAGCATAATATTCTTTTTTTGAAGATTTTTCAATTTTAAACTAATTATTTTGAACAGTTCAGGCCAAAATTCGGAGTTCAAACCAAAATTATTGAAAAGTTCGAGCAATAATTAATAAATCTAAAATAAATTAAGAAAAATTAAAATTAATCGAAAACCAGTTGAAATTTAATTGCTGAAATATCTAGGCATTTATCAGACGACAACTTTCGTGTTTTTCAACACTGGAAGCAGTTTATTTTAATAAATATTTAAATAGCACATTTAACCTACTTTACCAAGCGAATAGCGCGTCAAAGCGACTCTGTTGCAAACTTTTAATAATTACATTATTTTAGGCCTTTACTCTTTATACGCAAAAAAAAAAACGAAGAAGAAACGTACAGAAATAAAGGTCTGTTTAGAACTTAATTTGACCCTCGGGTTATAAATACTTGAGCAAGTGAGACAAGGGCGAAGCCCAACGTTGACCAGCCATATCAGCTACTGGCTGGTCACGTCGAGGGCGCTTGGTGAGGGGAGAGGGGGGTACGCTGGTATCTTAGCCGACGACCAATTTGATAGATAAGAACATTGAGCCACACAGAGAGAGAGAGATAGAGAGAGAGAGAGAGAGAGAGAGTTGAAGTGAAAGCAACCACAGAAACTGAAAATGAAACTGAAACTAAAATTGTTTCAATGTCGTTTCATAAATGGCAGGACAAAGGCAGAAGGAGAGCACCGAAAACGCAATGAAATAAATACAAATGGAAAGCGCTCAGTTCCAGGTGGAAAAACCGCCCAACCGCCCGCATAACGGCGTCCAAATATTGGCTTGATTGTTGTAATGCGTTTGAGGTGTGTTGTCTGTTGTTTGGCCATCAACTCTGCGGCACAAAACCGCAAACGGAGGCCACAATGGAAACGGCCTGTACACAATATATACAAATAGATGCCTGGCATATATGTACACATATATATATACATATTGATATTTAGCATGTAGATAACTCAAAACCTGAAGAGTTAGACTAGAGTCTGCGGGCATTTGCAGCTAGATGAAGTTCAATTGGGGCACTCGAAGAAGGCAACGAGTTAGCCAAAGTCAGCGGCTGCTTTTGGCCATTAAACCGATTAATGAGCTCTATTTGCTTGCCTTACCTTCTGGTATTTCCATTGCCATTTCCATTTCTCCTTTTTGTTTTTGTTTTTGCCTTCGATTGGCTGCCGTTTTGTGCTTGTGTTTTGCTTATTGTTTCTGTGCAATTTGAGCTGACAGCAGGACACTCGAGCAAACAAACGCTGAATGTCCCTAGTCCTGTGAGTTCTGTGCTCATCCTTGATGTCTGCCCCCGGTTGACAGCAGCGGGTTTTGTTTTTTCGCTTATTCGCTTAGTCAATTTTGTACAAATTTCAACATCGACAGTTGCGCAAAAAACGCGTTCGCCAGCGGCAGCACGAAAATAATAATAAAATTAACTGAAAAACGGCAAAATTGAAATCCTTGGCTAAAAGAAGAAGTGACTTAAAAACGGGGCCACTAAATCAAAAATTGACTAATACGCTTTGTAAACAATGCCAACTAGGCCCAAAGATTAGGCCAGAAAACACACCGAAAAAGGGCGTCGTGTTGGGCCAGCTGGATTTTGTCTTGATGAGGGTCCATTTGGGGACAGTTCCAGATCATTTTATGCAGCTGCTTTCTGTTGTTGTTGTTGTTGTGGTATCTAGTTTGGGTTGTCGGCCATTAGACAAGGCATTAGAACAGCCCGCAGTGTTCGAGGAAATATGTGTGTGTTGTTTTATTCCTGTTGCTGTCGCCGATAAGCGCCGTTGTTTATGGTCATCGTCATCCAATTTGCGGCGCATTTGCATAATTTCCCACGGCGTTCAGTGGAGCATTAAGCCAAACAAAAATCATTGCCAATATCAACACAACAAATAACCAAAATATTACAGATAAACTCGGTGTTATCTATAACAACTGAATATGTGGAGTTTATCAAAGTTCAAGTACGCCAAAATGCCAGATGGCTAAAGTGCTTATCAGCTAACAATTGCGATTACGGAGCTCATGTATCATGGCATCAGAATACATATTCGATAACAACGCATTTGGTTTATATGGTTTATTTAACACAAACTGCATTAAAGGACCACAAATACCCAATTTGTGATGTATGTATGTGGAATTGGTGGATTATTCAAATGCATTCGAGCGTTAAACAACACTGTGGTTACTTTATGTAAAGCTTTATTCCTGTAATGCGGTTGCTTTAAAACCAACAAATGGTCTCCAATAGGAGCCCTTTGCTGTTTTATAGTCAAGCAGCTTTCTGTTTTCCTTTTAGGCATTTTTATTAAAGCTTTAACGCGCTTTCAAAGCTGTCTTTTTAATATATGTATTTATTGCAGTGTTAAAAAACTCGTGCAAAAGCGAAAAAAAAGTGCGGAAACAGTAAAAACGACTTTAAGCTATTTTCCTATACATTTAAATGCCATTTTGAGCTGTTCCCATTGGGACTTCCCATTTTCTCCACGGAAATTGCACGTAAATTAAAGATGGCTGATACAAATTTATACTATCTGATAAATGTTACACTGTTCAGCACTTAGTACAAGGCATAAAACTCAAGCAAAAGCATGTATTTTTATAGGGGTATTCTCCAACAAGCTCCTAAATGAAATAGTAAATGTTTTGTGTTCAGCACTTGACATTCAATCTTTTTTGGGCTCGCCCCTGTCAAAAACGGAAATAAGAGACCCACACACACATTTGATTGAGAACAGTTTCTGTTACATGCCGGGCACAAGACAATTTCCATTCAGCGCTTAAGCTTCCCTTCAATCAGCGCCACGTGCCCGGCTGACCTTCTCATATTTGGGCGCACAGCTTGCCTGGCATTTCAATTTTGTGTCCATTGGTCATTTCCAAAGGTCTTTGGGGCTTAAAAGTCGCTTAAAGCAACTTTATTTGGGCATAAAGCACACACATGCAATAAACATCAACGGCGGCACTTGATTTGCTTAGCATAATGTGGTCCGTCTAACCACCTACTGGTAGCAGCCTGCCCCTTCCACCCGCCTCTGCTCACCTGCGTCAACGCCTAACGGTCGCCGGGCAATTATGGAAATTTATTGTGCAGCTCACGCCGCAGCGCTGTGAATGCCAATCAGGCAGGCAGGCAGCCGGCGAGTGTCAGCAGCACTTGTAGAGATATTGGCTACCGGGGGGTGATTCAAATTGTATTTCGATTTCGATTTCGATTGTGATTTCAAGCACAAGAGCTGCTGCTGCTGCTTCCAATCCGAATCAGTTGAGTTTATGGCTGCAACCTTGCAAATAAAAATAAATAAACCGTTTTTTGCCATGCAACTAGTGACTGGATGAGCTCATCAGCATTAAATCAACATGTTTATTATCGCTGCGCCGCTGCTTATCCATCACAAGTGGATAACTGGTTGGCTGCTTCCTGCCAGTGCCAATGCAACTTAATTTATGCACCAGTTTTCGTTTTCATGTGTGTAGACACTGGACCCACATATCGCACAAGCGATTACTTATCGATATTGGCTAGCGACGCGCGCGCTCTTGATCGCATTGCCTCGCATTGTGCGTCCACCTGCCAACAGCTTTCAGCTTAATTAAATGATGGCCAAACAATTAAAAAGCGTTTACAAAACCGCGCACAGTTCAGCTGAAAGTGTCATCAATCTTGTCAAATTGCCATCAATGGCCATAGTATACACACACCCCAAAACAACAACTACACGACTTTTGTCCTCTGGCTGCGATGTGGCGCGCTGGCAATGAAGGACCAAAGTCACTTGAGACTTTTGCGAGTTAATTAATTAAACGCCGGCGACGTCGCCGATGTCGGCACATGCAAATTAAGAAAATTGCAAAATAAAATAACAACAACAGCAGATAAAATAGCATTTCGAATTGACAACAGCAACAAAACCAACAACAACAACAGCAACAACAAACATTTAGTTATTGTGTATGCCTGCCGTGGCTAGCTGCGCGTTCGTGAATTCGACGTCGACGTCGCTGTTGGCGTCGCTGTTGCTGCCTTCAATGGCAGTTGCAAACCGCGCAACGCATTTTTTTTCCAGTGCTAACGGGCCGTTCGACGTCGACGCGCATGCGCAGCATAAGCAGCAGCAAAATACTAACGGTTAACGGTCTTCATGTAGCAATTTTAGGTTAACAACTTGCTATTACAATTAAAGTACCAAGTGGAAGAGGAAGAGACGGAAGAGCACGCAGGCGACATTAACGTCGCTTTTGCATGCGACATTTCAAAGTCAAAGCCATGGTGCAATCTTTGGATATAGCAGCCATAGCGGGACAACAACAGCAACAACAACAAAACGATGCGGTAAATGTGAGCTGAAAGTACAAAAATAAAGACTACACCAAGTGTGTGTTTGTGTGTGCGATTGAGTGTGTGTGTGTGCGCGCGCGACCTTCATAACAGCTGGGCGCAGCAGGAGGCGTGGCATTGCATTGTCATTAGCATTGCGCCCGAAGGGCTGCCATACAAAGCGACGCACGTATGCGTCACATTGAGCCAAGCTCATACCAACTGTCCGCCCCACGCCGATCCATGCCCGGCGATATAGCTTAATGGATTAACCGCTGGCAGCGACTGATACGCGTTTATTAGACTGTCAAGCACACGCCCCTAATCTCAGGATGTGCAGAGTGAACGCGAAACAAGCATCCCATCTGCGATTATGCGCGCGTGTGTGTGTGTGTGTGTGTGTGTTAACCATAAACTTTCTACATGCCAACATATGTATTCACATACATATGTACAATGTTTGTGGAACCCCTTGACTAAGCACTGAGACTAACTTGTCTGTTAACTAAATGTGCTACCCTCTTGACCCCACAGTAAACGCTGTCATGAATATATACAGTATAAACGCTATATTAGAAGTGCGCGACTAAGAGATGCCCTGTAGCCAGCTCTTTATTGTTCAAATGTGTGCGCACTTAACCGTAAACAAACACACACACACTTATACTACATACGTTGTCAAAAGCTTTACTTGACTTCATGAAAATCGCATAGAAGGGCGATGCACAATTAGTACTACAATCTTATACCACAATAAATCGCTACAGTTACGCTTCATTAAAGCTCAAATTGAACAAAATTGAATCACAGAATAAACGCAATTCCAAACATGAAATTGCCCGTGTCATGTGCAACTATTTTACATACATACTATTATACATACAAACAACCCCTCCTCCCGCCCCCTCGTTAGCATGCTGCAGCTGTGCAGATACATAACAAATTTAAGCGCCAAACTTGCCAGAGCTGACCAAGTTTTAATGTGGTTACCCCGACCAGGATTGGGTAACCGCACAAAAGGCACTGTAGATGGCCATTAAAATGTTTCAATTAGCCCGCGCCAGTTGTGTGGCACATTTCATATAGGGCGGGAGGGTGACTGGGTCGTCAAACTTTGAGCTGAACTTCATTCTCTGCCCCGCTTCTTGCAGGAGCCGAACAAACGGAGCAAACCCTCAGCGTTGAGGCGAACGCTGCAGGCGTTGCGGCAGCGTCTAACGAAACGGAGTCGCGCCAAGCCGCCCGATTGGTTCCTCGAGAAGTTCTCCAATACCAGCAACACGGACAAAATAGGCAAAACTGGCGCCATGGACGACGCGGCGCTGTCCAGTGAAATCCGTGGCAGCAGCGCGCTCTGCAATCACCTCTCCGTGGATCCCACGCTCCAGTCACACTACAGGGTAAGTCGAATCGGGATGCACTTTAACTTTTGCAATCCATTAGCTAATACAGCACGTTTCACCCATCTGTATGGCAGTGGCTCGCCGTGGTGTCTCTGGCGGTGCTCTATAATATCATATTTGTGGTGGGACGCTCCGTGTTCTGGGAGATCAACAAGAATGCGCCCGCCGTTTGGTATACGCTGGATTACCTATGCGATTTCATTTACCTGCTGGATACGCTGGTGCACATGCATGAGGGTAAGTTCAACAGCCAAGACGTCAGCCAAGTGATGGGGAGAGGGGGAGGGGCTGCTTATGCAAATGAGACTTGGTGACTTTTGGTCTAACTAAGCCGCCGCAGACAATGCCAGCAAAGCGTTGCCAGCAAAGCCATTTGCTTCCATATAAAAAACATACATCAACAGCATATGTGTGTGTGTGCTTGTGTGTGTGTGTATGTGTGCCTGTCTGTCTGTCTGTGTGTGTGTGTGTGTGTTAGAGTTGCCAAATGCAGGGATAAGCCAGCCTTGACATTTCAGACGGCAACAACAAAACGCTTTGTTATACTCTCGCCGCGAGCCACGCAACTTTGTAAAACTCTAGTCTAGGAAAATCGGAATTAAAAAGAATGCATGAAAAGTGCTGCACAAATACGGGGAAAGCAGGAGCCTGCGGCCCAACTAAAACACATTTTCAAATATTTTTTTTAATTTGCTTTAGTTTAAAATAAAGTTAAACTTAACAAGCGGAGCCCCACATTATTATACTTGGTTCTTTCTTAATCAAATATGTATTTGTAGTTAATATGTATAGTTAGTTAGTTAATATGTATAAACGTATATACTTAGTTTCTGGAGAACAATTATTATCACACTGTGAGCGCTCGGAAATAGGAAATTCCGTGATTAGAAATTTCCAGAAATTACTACACTCATTTTCCAAGAATATTTCTTGCGTGGAAAACTTTGCTTAAAAGATTATTTTTATAAGCTTCTCCTTGTGAACGTAGAATGTGTTAAAGCTTCATAAAATTGTTGTATAGGAAATCCTTAAATTTAAAATCCAGCTTCGAATTCCAGTTGCCAGCTCTAAGGACGAAATACGTAGAATATTCGATAATAATAGTCAATTATATTATTGCATTTTTCAAACATTTCATTTTTCATTGGAAAATGGGACATATGCATTTATTTTATAAGCTTACCTTAGCAAAAGTTGTCTGTTTCCTAGTCAAGAAAAGCGAGTTCCTTGTGCGAGTGAAAACACATTTTGCTACTCAAATCCTCGGACAGGATTTGTGTAAATAATGTAAGCGGATTATCCAGCTGCAAGGGTATCAAAGTTTTAGTTTAAGTTTTGCATTTCCACAGCTCTGCTCTGGCAACAAAACGCTGCGAAATGTCTCGCTGCATGTGGCATGCAAAAAAAATTAACTGAAAGGCACAACCAAGCTCACACACACACACACACACACACATACACAAACACGGCGGTCTAATCCTTTCGTTTTGGTCCGCAGGCTTTCTGGACCAGGGTCTGTTGGTGCGCGATGCTTTCCGGCTGCGTCGCCATTATTTTCACACTAAGGGCTGGTATCTGGACGTGCTGTCCATGCTGCCAACGGATCTGGCATATATCTGGTGGCCGCCGGAGACATGCTCCAGCCTGTATCTGCCCTGTCCGGTGATTGTGCGCCTGAATCGCCTGCTGCGCCTGCCCCGCCTCTGGGAGTGGTTCGATCGCACGGAAACGGCCACCGGCTATCCGAATGCATTTCGCATCTGCAAGGTGGTGCTGGCCATTCTGGTGCTGATCCATTGGAATGCCTGCATGTACTTTGCCATTAGCTACGAAATAGGTTTCAGCTCCGATTCCTGGGTCTACAACTTGAATGGCACGCGGAACAATACGCTGCAGCGCCAATATATCTACAGCTTCTACTGGTCCACGCTGACGCTGACGACAATTGGGGAGACGCCGACGCCGGAGAATGATGTCGAATATTTGTTTGTGGTCGCCGACTTTCTCGCCGGCGTGCTCATCTTCGCCACCATTGTGGGTGAGTGTCTCCCTCTGACCCCGCCCCCTTTCTTTCATTTAGTCTGTGGGGCTGGGATGCTGGTCCATTTTTGGGGGATTTTTAGCTGTTTGTTTTGGCGCATTGTTTACGCAAATATTTCGTCTGATCGTTTAATTGGTTGCGGAGTGACATCTGTGACATCAATGGGTATTAATTTACGGCCCGCCACGTACGTCAGGGACAACGACCCACACTCCCCCTCTATGTGTGTTCGTGTCCCTTTTCCAATGGGCGTCCCTTTCCCTGTCCCTGTCCCTTCCTTCGTGTCGACCCACATTATTCATTACGCTTTTCTGTTTTCAACATTGTTTTGTTTTCTGTATTTTTTGTTGTTTGGCATGTGCGGGGTTGATTTGTTGCTGTCGACGCCTTCACATTCGCAACGCTTTTTGGCAAACGTGCCTTTTTATCATTTTTGTCGTCCTTCTTATCGCCGCCATTACCGGGCAGCTGCCGCTGCCGCTGCCGCCGCTGCTGCTGCTGAGAAGCAGCGTCTCGTCTGACATCTGGGCAAACAAATTTACTTACCATGATGAATGCAAAGTTCGTCAGAGTGGCATATTTTACCATCATGCATATGTCCGTCCGTCTGCGTCTCTCTGTGTGCACCGGAAGTGTCGCCATTAGTCGCCTTTGTGCCACGCGTTACGCATACGCCGCATGGGCCCCTCGAAGAATTTACGACTCACAAGTGGCGCAGCACAATCTTCAATGCCAGCAGCGGAAATGGCACTCGAAATTAAAATCAGCCTCTAACAAAACAAGCCGTTCGAGTGCTCGACCAGGAGATGCCCACTTGACCCGCATGCCAAAGTATCTAGGCGGGAGAAATTTAAATATGCGGTATATAAAACTCTCTACTCAGAATTTTATTTCAAAAGTTCTCAGTATCTGTAGGATTTGTGATAAGATTGGTTGAAAATCGATTTTTTCTTAAAGATTTTCGGAAAAGTTTGAAAAGTTTGTGAAAGAATTTCAATCTGGATAAGCATGTAGAGTAAAGTAATACCTGAGCCTTTCTTACTTTTATTATCTCTGGCTTATTAAAATAGCTAATAAGTGAGGGTATATATAAACCCAGCTGGTCCTTTGCTTAAGTATACCCTATGCCATTTTTGAATGGCTGCAGGGCATAAAAACACGTATTTTATGACAATTTGAAAACCATATTGTTCCGCTGGTTGGCAATAGGCAACATCGGTTCCATGATATCCAACATGAATGTTGCGCGCGTCGAGTTCCAGAACCGCATGGATGGCGTCAAGCAGTATATGGCCTTTCGGCGCGTGGGCCATGAGCTGGAGGCGCGAGTGATACGCTGGTTTGCGTACACCTGGTCGCAGAGCGGCGCCCTGGATGAGGAGCGCGTGCTGGCGGCACTGCCGGACAAGCTGAAGGCGGAGATAGCTATACAGGTGCACATGGATACGCTAAAGCAGGTGCGCATCTTCCACGACACAGAGCCGGGTCTGCTGGAGGCGTTGGTGCTCAAGCTGAAGCTGCAGGTCTTCAGTCCCGGCGACTACATTTGCCGCAAAGGCGACGTCGGCAAGGAGATGTACATTGTGAAGCGCGGCAAGCTGTCCGTGGTGGGTGACAATGGCGTTACGGTGCTGGCCACGCTGGGCGCTGGCTCGGTCTTTGGCGAGGTCTCGGTGCTGGAGATTGCCGGCAATCGCACGGGCAACCGACGCACGGCCAATGTGCGCTCGCTGGGCTACTCGGATCTCTTTTGCCTGGCCAAACGTGACTTGTGGGAGACGCTGGCCGACTATCCGGAGGCGCGGTCCACGCTCACACAGCGTGGCTGTCAGCTGCTGCGCAAGGACGGGCTGCTCGATGAGCAGATCTTTGCGGGTAATTGATGCCAACACAATTTGGGCCACTTCCGGCAGCTCCTCACTAACGCACTTCCGCCATCCTGTTTGCTTTCGCAGATTCGCAGCGCGTGCACGACAGCATCGAGGGCGGCATCGAGAAACTGGAGCTGTCCGTCGAGAACTTGAACATGCGACTGGCCCGCCTGCTTGCCGAGTACACGGCCAGCCAGGCCAAAATCAAACAGCGCCTGGCCAAGCTGGAGCTCAAGTGAGTGTGTCTTAACTTGTTTGCTATTCGGCTGCTCCTAATAGACATTTTATCGTTTGTAGCGGTGCCGCTGGTGGCTCCGGTGGGCGGGAGGCGGAGCCGCAGATGCGCTCACGCAGCGGTCGCCTGTATTCCCTGCAGACCAAGCGGCGCCCACGTGCGCGCCTCGAATCGGCTGCCAAATGCGGCGAGGCGGCCAAACAGAATACGCTCTAAGGCGGCGGCGACGCCGGGCGCCCGAGCAGGGACATCCGCATGGCGACATTCCAAATGTCGCCTATTCCATATGCCTGCGTTTCCCGCTCTGCTGAATGATGGTGATAAATGCATTAAGCTTGACGGAGTTACGAGTCTGGAGAATCATGCTGAAGATTAAAAAGTTGCTACCGAGTGGCTTGTGGTTGGGACTGGGGCTGGAGCTGGGACTGTGGCTGGGACTGTGGCTGGGGTTGGGGAAGGTTTGCTGCGACTTGGCTGGGCGCCAACTCGACGCGTGCGCGTGTAAATCAATTTTTAATTTTTACAATTAGTTTTAGGACGCGCCAAAGCAAGGGGTTTTTAGGCAGGTGCAGGGGGGGAGGGGTTGGAGAATGTTTGTCAGCGAGAGTTTTTTGGGTATGTTTTGTTTTTTTTTTTTTTTTTGTAGCGCAACTTTATAAATTTATAAAATGATTCAAACTGAATGTGCCTCAAAGTGTGTAAAAGTAGATAAGTTAGGAGCCGGAACAAAAAACAAAACGACGCAGCGAAGCGGGCTGAAACGACGCAGGCGGGGAACTGCTAGGATTCGAGAACTTGAACCCAACTATAGCACAAATAACTGAATTAACGTGTTAAAAAAAAAACACAAGGATCGTTGTACATATGCAAGCTGAGCTGACATTGAGAATGCGACTCGGCAATAGTCCAATTTTACAAGCTAGATTTTATTTTTCTAAATCTATAACCGTTTGAGATACGCTTAGGTCCAACTACGTATATATATATACCTATGTATAAATATATATATATATGTGCAACTACAACAACAACTACAACAACAACAACCACCAAGAGACATTTGCTGAAAATGCTGCGAGAAGGAACGAGAATGAGCTGAAAATTGAGAGAAAAAACAAAAAAACGCATTTCCTATTAGTCACACCTCGGTGCACCTCAATGTTTTTGTGCCGTGGATGCTACCTTTAGTTATCTGTGTAAAAGTACGATATATACCATATATATATATATATATATATACAATTTGTGTATGTCTGTGTGCGTGCATGTACAGGGGGGGGTATGGGGGCGGAGGAGCAACAGTAACGAAAATTCATGTTAACATTTTTGAGTCAGCGAATTGTAATTGTATTTAAGTAATTCAGTGTTAAGAGTAAAACAGCTTCCAAAGCCAAACTTCAAATACAAATTGTAAACAAAAACTAAAACAAAAACAAGAACTAAAACTAAAACAAGAACTAAAACAACACACACACAAGTGGAAAACTGTATTTTTATATTAGCCTGGTAAATGTACGAGAGTTATATGTGTAAGCAAAACTATAATAAAATGTAAAGAAAACTTTAATTAAACATTCGCAATACGTCAATAGCTCAATAACCCCAAGCCCTTGGCCAGCATTGTTGGCCAATAAAACAGGAAACCAGCCAACGACGCGATTCTAATGATAAGTCGAAGCGAGCAGACAAAGGCGGCAATTACGTGAAGTACGTAAAGAAATGCAGACGCGTTCGCTTTACCCGCCGTACCACGCTGCGTATGAGTAACAAGCTGCGGGGCAGTCAGTCAGTCAGTCAGTCATTCAGCCAATCATTCAGTCGGCGAGCGAATCGTGCGAAAGTCAAAGTGAAAGTGAAAGCCACGCAACCCAAATGACGACCCCCAATCCTGTAAATGTAAATGTAGTAAAAAAAAAATCAATTTTGACGAAACGCGTCAAAAAAAAAAAAGGAATGAAAATAATAAAAGAAAACCCCCACCAATTGAGGTGGAAGTACCCTGTGTAGGCTCCCATTTCCGCTGCCCCACACACATTTGCCTAGGCACCCGGAGCACAGAGCTGGCGTGGAGGTGGGTTATCCATATGACTTTATTTGTTGCCATGACAAGGAATGAATGAAGCTCCTTGGGGCGCATGACAGACAATAAAATGTCGACGCTTCAATGGAATTGTGCGAGAAGTGAGTGCTTTTTTTCTACTCTACGATAACTCGGTCTGCTGCAGGCTAGCATAACATTGTTAATGGTCTTTTTTTCTAAGAGACATGCGGACTTTTTGCTGCACTTTGTAGTCAACGCAACCACGTTCGGTTTTTACTCGTACACAAGTATGCAAAAAATTGACATATTGAGCGTCATTCGATTTAAAAGAATTCAAATGCTGAGCTTTTAATGATCAAAAATAAAAGTCCTAAAGGCTTAATACAAAATTATACTTCAGATAACAATATCGAACATGTTAAAAGGAAATATATTAGTAACATATTCATTAGCGGAAAAGTAGAGAAAGTTTAGAAAATATAAATACTTATAAGCGAGAAAGAAATCAATACGGCTACTGATGCTGAATATATATACTTAATGACAAAATTATAGTACCCTTTACAAGTATATAAAAAGAAGAGTGCTCCACTTGGAAATGGCAAACTAGCAGATGCCCTTTACCCTGTAATGACAGGAAGGGTATATATAGAGGCCACGCTTTGTCAAATGGACAGCAGGTAAGAATTAGATTTATTTTCAGCCGTGTGATGCTATACGATTATATACTTTTTATATATATACGTATACGTAATGCGTATACGTAATATTGATGCATACGCATGCATATTCAGTTGAATACCCGCTGTCAATGTGTATAGGGTATACACAATTTACTTTTTATTTCTATATATATTATATTTATATTCGATTTTATCAAAGTTACCATATGTGTATTATTTCATCCGAATGAAACCCCAGTGAGCCAGGAATTTGCCGTCCCAGCTGGTAAACCTAATAACTTTTTGGCTCTGTAAACACAACGATCGAACACAAACAAATATTCATAAATTGTGCGTTAATTATTAAAGAGAAATATCATCAAATATCAACTGATATCGCAAACCTAATCGATAAGGAATAAGCAATAATGTCAACACAACCCACCGATGTTCAGTATCTGCGCTGCCTGAAGTGCCTGAAGATAATCAAGTGCTCGCGGTACGATACCAGCTGCCTGGTGCGTCACGTGCAGAAGGATCATCCGGAGATCATTGACGAGTCCAATGAGAAGGTGCACAACCTGCACAAGCTGGCCGCCGAGCACGGCATCAGCGAGGAGCGGCTGTCGGAGATTAGCAAAATGACGGGCATGTCCGAGGCAGAGATGGCCGATGAGGCCGAGCGCTGTAAGTGCTTGCAGTTAGCTCAACCGAATCTCTGCTACAAATCGAGCTGTTCACAGATTTGCAGGGCAAGAAGCGCCCCGACAGCCAGCAGCGCGATGGCAAGGATGGTGCCCATTCGGGGAGTTGGAAGCAGCCGAAGCTAACCGATTCCAAGGAGCTGAACCGACGTCAGTTCTATCGCAGCTCCATTGAGCGCTGGATGCCCACGGAGGGCTGCATCTATTGTCCCAGCTGCGGCTGCAATCGCCGGCCATTGATCAAGACCAGCTCCGAGTTCTATACGAGCACCGGCTGCTCGGCGGCCTGTGTGGCCAATTGTTGGCCCTTCTGCTTTCTGCCCTGCCTCAACTCGGGCGACAATCGCGAATATCTGCACTGCTCCAACTGCAAGAGCTTTCTGGGCATCTACGATCGCGAGAACAATTGCATACGGCCCAATCGCGAATTTGTGCCCACCTAGGAGCAACATCTGCCCACCAGCTCACCATTAACTATATATTTATTTACACACATTTGCTGCAGTGCTGGAAATACGAGTTAGTAACAATAATATATTTCAATTGCGACCCAGAAGCTCGTGATTTTTGGGTCGCCACAAAAAAAAGCTTGCTTAGCCAAGACAAGAACCATTCATCCCATTTAGAACTTATTGCAACACAGTTTGGGTTTCGGATTGATTTTGCTGTTGCGCCTCTCGCTGGGCACGCTTCTCCGCGCGCTTGGCCAAGATTAGTTCCCTGGACTTCTGGGCGCGCACAGCACAATCCTTGGGCTTGGTCTTGAGTCGCATCTCATCCACAACGGCCTGCTTACGTGCCGACTTGGAAAGGCAGCGCTCGTAGCAGTCTAGGGGCACGTAGCGTCCGATAAAGCAGCCGCAGTGGGCACAGTAATGATTGATGTCCTCGCGTCCACTCCAGCTCTTGCTGCGTTTGGGGAACATGAGTGGGAATCCTTGGGAAAAATTCTGGTATGCGGACTCACCATAGCTTGGTCAGGCTGAGCAATCGCTGCAGACAGCTGACCGCCTCGCGCTGCACAATGCTCTGCTCGAAGTGCTCGCAGGCGGGACAGTTGACCATTGTGGACTGCGTCTGCAGGTAGCCCACTTGGGGCTTGGCGCCGCCGATGCTTATGGCTATGACTTGCGGCTCCACCTTGGTCATTTTGTGCGCACTCTCTGCCGTACGGCGCGTAACTAACGCCAGCGACGCCCCAGCAGCCGACCATAACCAAGAGCAGCAAAAGAGCCAGCCGAGAGCGGGCCGAAAAAGAGAGAGAAACTTGCTCTGCCATGCCCGTGCGCGCCCCTCCCCGCAATTAATTAACAACACACATGGAATTTAATGCCAGTTCTTTATTGTTGCAATGTACAGTAAAAGTGAAGATGATGTAGAGTATCAGAGCTGGGGTCGCCTGTAGACGCCCAGGTACTCGCCGCAGGCGCCCCAATGGTGACGCTTGGTGCAGCAGCGCAGCCAGGAGCGCACCAGACGCGTCCTGGCCAGCACCTTGCAATAGGGGCAGGTGATCTCGCGGGCGTTGGGGCCCACGGCAAAATAGACGGGCGCAAGTTCCTCAGCCATGTTGACCAGCTTCCGCCGCGTGTGAATTGATACTGAGCAGCTGCTCTGGAGAGCAGAAAAAAGACAAGTGCGAGCGGATTTTTTTTCGTTTGCGTTTTTGTGTTGTTTATTGGCAGCGTGTGGAAAAATAGAAAATTTGATGAAAAGCCAAGAGATGGGCGTTAATGTGAGTAATATTTTTTTTTTTGTGGGTATCTATTGACTGGCGCTCGATTTGATTTTGAGTGGAGCGCGTCGCTTCATGGCGCGCCCAAAGTAGCAGCCACAGTTGCCACAGTAATGACTGCGATCCGTTTGCTTGCAGGGCACAATGTAGTCCAGGCAGCAGCAGCAGCAGAAGGTGCTGAAAGGGGAAACGCAAAGATTAGTCCACGGCACGAGCAGAGCGGATCCAGATCCGGCAAACCTACACGAAGAGACAGCCCACGATGCGGTTGAGTTCGCTGGCCCACCATTTGAGATCGTTCTGCAGGACGCTGTAATCCTTGATGCCGCAGGCGGGGCACTTGATCAGCACGGACTCGTGTGGCAAGTTGAGAAAGGTGCCTGCCAGCGGCGTCGCAAAGTTCTCATAGATATCGAGCTCCTTTTGCGCCTCCAGCGTTTTGGACGCGGCTGCCTCTGCTAGCTGCTGCTGCTCCTCAGCAGTCGGCGTCGTCGTCGTCGTCGTGGTGGTGGTGGCCATAGCTGAACAAATTGAAAACTGAAAGCGTAATGTGGCTAGAGCCAAGGGGCAACCTGTTTGGATAACAAGCAGAGAGCGCCCGAGTGCGAGAGAGTGAGACACAAAGAGAGCGCGAGAGGGAGAGCGGGAGAGAGGTAGAGATCGAGCGAGCGTGCGTCTTTAATTGAGTTAGATGCGTAATAGAATTAAAACAAACTATGTGTGGCATTTATATCAATTTAATTGACCTAATCGGACTTGCTCTGAATGCCCAGCTTGCCGCCACAGCGGCTGCAGTAGACGCCCTTGGTGGTCCACTCGCGATTGCAGCCGCACCAGGTGCAAATGCAGCAGAGCCAAAAGATGGGAAACACGCTATAAATCACAACAACAAAAATTAGTTGCCTGTGCATACAAAGTGGAGTTGGGGCTCACCAGGAGAGCAGGCTCAGGCAGCAGCTGGCGTCCTTGCAGCCGGCGGCGCGCATTACAGCCGCATCGCTTCTCTCGCGGCACAGCGGACAGAGCAGTTTGTAGGTGGAGGGGCCCGGCTTGTAGTAGCGCAGGCGTGGCTGTGCCGGGGCGGGTGCCGCCTCCAGCTGGGTGAGCAGCGTCCGCTTCTCGGCCGCTTGGCCCACTTGCTCATCGATGTAGGGCACCAGCGCGGCCTGATGACCCTCGACAACCACATTGGCTATTATGTTGCGGGCACGCTCCTCGGCTGTCTGTGCCGGCAGCAGTCTGATCTGCAGCGTCTGCGTCTCCATCGTAACTGGCTGGGCAACCAACGCTGCCCTCAGCGGCGAGCGTTTAGCGAGCCAAGAGCAAATCGGAGCGGGAGCGAGAGCGAGCGCTAGCGTTTGCTCACGAGGCGTATGCGCAATGCTGTATCTCTTGCTCTGCGTGTGGATCGCATATGATGTCATCATCGGCTGGAGCTAGTCCGTGTGGCATGCCAAGCAGAACCAAAACCAGAGCAACAAACAAATTGCTTATTGTTTATTTGCTTAACAAATGTGAAGCATTTCTGAGCGTCACACATTACGAAATACCATAGATAGATCGGCTGCCAGTCTGCCTAATATATACATATATATCTATCTATATCTATATATGTTTATGGCATGTACACACACACGGACCACTTGAGCTGTCAGATTTCAAAAATGCTTTTGCGTTTTATTTTTCTTGTTTATAGAATGCTCGCCCTAGACACGCTTCGCCCCCCCTTGGGCACCAGGGCGGGTGCTAGATTGAAGACGAACTCGACTTCCTTGCGTGGCCTGGATCAAATCGAAGCTGGCAAGTACCTTGGTCCCAGCCAGCTTAAAACTAACCTTGCCCATGCGCATAGCTGGAAAATGAACGAAAATCCATTTAGAAATTGCAAATCTTTAACCAATTCGCGGTAAGACCCTACCTATGCAATGTTTGGGGCCCTCGCCAAAGGGCATAAATGCAAACTGATCATTTTCATAGCAACGGCATCAAATCGATGTGGATCGTAGTCATCGGGATTGGGAAAGTAGCTGGCATCGCGTTGTATGCCCAAAAGAGATATCAAAGTCCTGAGTGCACTCCCGATTGAGGAAGGGCAGACCGGGATACTTGCGTATGGTTTCTGTTGAAAAGGGATAAAGATATAGATGAGAGGGGAATTTCTTATAGACAAAATGCTAGGGACACGTACCCATAATACACTTATCCAGGAACTTCAAATCCTGCAGTGCTTTGTAAGTGAACTTGCCCCCGCGTTCGAGCTTATGACTTTCCATAACTGCAGCTCCTCGCGCACCTCCTTAAGTAAGTCGGGATACATGGCCAGCCCACAGAGTGTAAAGGAAGCCGTAGCTGCGGTGGTTTCCGTGCCATTTACGTAGAAAGGTGTTTCAATTACTGTAACTGGCGAAATTCCGGCGTGAACTAAACAACGATACTTGTTCAAGTGAGTTTTTCGCCCTGCCGCTGGCCTGCTTTATATAGGGTGTTCCGTCGGAGTCTGACTCGAATCGTGATAAGACTTCGACTATCATTTGAGGGTTATTCTACACTGCTGATAAGTCAGCTCTCTAAGCCGATACTTGTTAGTGACGTCACAATAAGAGCGCGAAAGAAACAGAGAGTTAGAGAGAGAGAGAGAGAGGGGCAACTTCACAGCCGATTGATGGCTGCCCCCACACAACAAAGAGAGCGCACATATTTATTTTTGTATCTCTCCCAGTTGAACTTGAAATTAAAAAAGTTTACAAAACGATGCAAACTTTTTAGCCCTGCTTAAATTTAAGTTTAAATTATTTTTTACCACATAATGCCTGTTAGGCATATTAGCTAGACTATTTAGTAATGCCAGATCTGAATTGCCTATGTAGATTTGTATATGTATATCGAACATTTACTTAAAGACCAGGTAGAAAAAAAGAAGTCTTACGAAATATACAATATTTTAGGCTTGTGTACACAATATAAAGCGTGATCTACCGCATATTTCTGTATTTCTGCATTAACAGAAAAATCGCGGTTATTACGATTGTTTTTTGACATTAATTAGCAGATGGACCGACTTTTATATACACACCGATAATCTAACCTGAATTTACGAGATTCGTATGCAGATCTTTAATCTTAAATTGAGTATGAAGCTGATCGAATGATAAACAAAGTTTGATTTATGCGCTCATCCTCAATCAGTCAGACAAGTAGTCTAAACAAACAGTTTTAAATACATACAAATTTTTAAAATGCTTTAATTTCATGATTAATCGAATTTACAAATAGTTTTACATGGCACGAATTTTACATTCAGGCACGCTTCACTAGGCGCACATGGAGGCCCCCCTCTGGAAGAAGCACGGGCGCAGGATCAAAGCGAAACTTGACTTCCTTACGTGGTGCTTCTATTAAATCGAAATTGGCCAGTATTTTGGCCACAGCTACCTTTGCATTGACCTTGCCCATGCGCAGAGCTATAAAATAAATAAAAATAAAAATCCCTTTAAGAAAATGAAGCTCAATTGGATATCAGGCACAACCCACCTATACAATGTCTGGGACCCTCGCCGAAGGGCATATAGGCTGTTTGGTCGTAGTTCATAACATCAGCATCAAATCGATGGGGATCATAGTCATCGGGATTGGGAAAGTAGCTGGGATCACGATGAATGCCAAAGAGTGATATCAAAATGGGGGTGCCCTTTTTGATGGTGTATTCGATGTCAGGGACTGCAAAGTCCTGAGTGCACTCGCGATTGAGGAAGGGCAAGCCAGGATATTTGCGTATAGTCTCTGTTGTGGGACAGAATGATATTGATTGGTGATCAAGGCATCCCAAGTACACTCTTATTAAAGAATCTTACCCAAAATACACTGATCCAAGAACTTAAGTTCTTGCACCGCCTCATAGGTAAACTTGTCGCCGCGTTCAAGATTGTGACGTATCATGACTGCATCCAGCTCGTCGCGTGCCTCTTTGAGGAGCTCTGGGTACATAGCCAGCTCGTAGAGCGTAAAGGAAGATGCAGCCGCCGTGGTCTCCGAGCCAGCTATATAAAAAAGAAAAGCCTGGGCCGCAATCTTCTCAATGGACATGGCCTTCAGCTCCTCCTGCGCCGTTTCGATATTCCACACTTCGTCATCGTCGTCGCCGATCTTGCCCGTATTACGCAGACGTATGAGCAGCTGCAGCAAATCCTTGCGTACGACATTGTGTTTCTCCCGGAACTCGATGGTGTGCTGCATTATGTCACGCAGTTTGGTAAGCACTTTATTCTCATAGCCAAGGCGATTCATGAGCTTGGCAAGGCTGTTGATTACATCAGATCATGGGATAAGTCTGATTACCAGATGATCTGGCTGATTATATAGTACTTACGGTGGGAATATTACCGAGGCCGTATTGTGAAATTTTAGCACCAAGTCGTTCTCTACTAAGAGGGAATCACTGACAGCCCGAAACTCGTTCTTGGGATTGGTAAAGCTATCGATCTCCAGGCCGAAGATCACTGAGCCTATGATGTCAACGGCATAAGTTGTGAGTTTCTCCTTTATTTCAATTGCTTCATTTGGCGCCTTCTCTATGACGCCCATTAAATGCTGCACCAGTCGGTCACCCACATCGTCGATCGTGCCGAACATGCCCTTGATCTTTCCCGAGGAGAACGAGGGAGTTAGTTTGTTGCGCAAATTGCGCCACGAAGCACCCTGTAAATTAAATAGATTGGCCGACAACGGGTCGTGCTTCTCATCCACATAAATACCACGATCGTGGAAGCTACTGAAGTCGCTGGTCATGATCTGGCGGGCCAGCTGCGCATCGCGCACCAAGAGAGTCGGTTTGTGCATCATGTAGATGCCCACAATTTTCGAGCTGTGGCGTTCATAGACATCGCTTATGATGAGTCCAAAGCCGCGCTGTCGTTTCACCAGCTTATCCAAAACGCCAAAGGGAAACTTGGCTGGCTCCTCGGCCACACCCTCGCGCTGCCAATAGCTATAAATGCGTCTTAAATATTGCACCAGCAGTGCCAGCAATATGGTCAGCAGCAATACGAGGTACATTCTGGAGCACTATCTCTGGCGAAATGCCCGGGCAAACTGAACAAGAGCGTCTGTTCCGAGTCTTGAAAGCGATTCGTCTGTACCTAAAACTTATAAAGAGCGTGTTCCAGTTGCCGATCTGCTGGATACTATATGCATATAAAAGCGCAGCCGCGATAACCTTGTGAAGCCAACACTCAGCTGGAATGCCAATTTCTTAATTATTTACGATGAGAATTGCAATTGCAGCACGTTTTGTTTGCTTGTGACGTCATAACGGAGCAAAAATTTAGCGCGAGCGACGCTTTTTCATAGACAAACTGCAGCTGAGCGAGCTTTGGCGTTCATTATCTGATCGCAGCTATTTGTTCAAATGAATCACTGGTTCGCTGCTTACAATCAAATTGAACGGTTTTTGAATTTGTAGTTTAGAATTTTAAATTAAGTTATGCAACACTGCTGAATGTGCCAGCACGCCCATTAGCTCAAAGGTCCGTTATGAATACGATCAGCCTTTTATTCAAATGAATCAGTGGATCGCTGTCTACTAGTAAATAGTCCTCGCACATAAGGGTTAGTAATTTTTTTTATTAAAAATTGTATTCAAAATATCAAAATAACTTGAGACTAGTTTTGCTTAAGCGCGGCACGCTGCTTGCCCAGCTTCTTTTCGTCCAGCTGCTCCTTCTCCACCTTGCGAAAACGCTGCCAGCGTCCATTGTCCTCCACCTCGGAGCGCTGCATGCGAAACAAAGCGCGTTTGTACCAGCTCAGCGAGATGTGGCGTCCAATGAAGCAGCCGCAGGCGCTGCAATAATGATTAGTGTCTTGTCGACCGCTCCAGCGTATGGGATTGCTATCGAAATATATAATTTGTAGGTCTGCATGGTATATCGAGATACAATGTATATATACACACCAGCAGAGCAGCCAATTTAGGCTGCATGCGATCTTTTGTAGGCAAGTGACGGCCTCGTGCTCAACGCAGCTGGTTTGCAGCTGCTGGCAGGCGGGGCAGACAAACTCGAGCGGCTCGACGGGCAAATGACCCACCTGTGGAACAGCCGAGATGCCACCAAAATCACAGGCGCTTCCGTCCAGACTCTCAGTGCTGGCCATTTGATAACAACGACGGCCTCTGAGCAACTAAGCGATGCCAAAACAACTACGAAAAGCCAAAAACTGAGAGGCGGGAGATCGATCGAGAGACTGAATTCTCCAAGTGGACAGAAACAACAACAACAAGAAGATCCATGATCAAGAGGCGTTGATAGAAATATGCGTACTTATTAAAAAGAAAATGCTGAAAATTGGCAACCGCTGCGCGAACTGCGTTTATTTATAGAACACTTGCGAAAATTGTGGCCAATAAAAAAATAAAGAAATGTGGAAACAGTAACAGAGCTAAATGGGACGCCAGTGGAAGCCCAAATGACCACCGCAGCTGCTGCAAAAGACGCGCTTGCTTTTCAGGCGGCTCTGCAGGCAAGAGTAGACGCAGCTCAGTGCGAAGATGGGAAAACAGCTGCAAGGGATCAGTTAAAAATTATAATAACTGGATGCCATTCCACCACTCACCAGGACAAGGCGGACAGCAGGCAGCTGAGCTGACCTAAGGCACCGGTCATTTGCACCGTTTCCGAGCGGGAGCGATGCTGGCACAGCGGACAGAGCACGCGATAGGTGCTGGGGCCAACACTATAGAAGCGCAGGCGCGGCTTCAACGGATGAAGCTGCTCCTCGCCCAGTTCCAGTGTGGCCGTGGCAGCGGATACATTATCCAGCTGCTGCTCCAGTTCGTCCAACATGTTCGGCGCGCTTGACATTGCGACTGGGCGCAGCGGCAGGCGGCACACAAAATCAGCCCAAAGAAATACTCAGAGCAAAAGAGCAACAGAGAGGCACGGCATGTGAGCGAGAGAGAGGCAGAGATTGCTCGCGCTCATCTCCGTTAAAAATAAAAACAAATACTTATGGCTCTCCCACGCATTGCAGGGTCAATTGGTGCTTAAAAACTAACAAAAACAATAACGAAAAATATATAACTAAACCAAAAACGAATTTAAAAAAAAAAAACACAAAAGCGCTTCGCTAGCGCTTCCAGGCGCCCAACAAGTAGCCACACTTGCCGCAAATAACCTTGCACTCATCCTTGGAGCGTCGCATGCAGCAGGGATAGATGGGCAGCAGGGCGAAACAGCTGCAACAGAGAAGGAAGAACAGTTACAGCAAAGGCCGTCAACAACTGGGCTTGGGCAACCTACCACAGGGTGAGCAGGCGCTCCAGGCGCACGCCCTGCTCATGCAGACGCTCGTGGCACTCGGGACAGTACATTTGCCGCAGGCAGCTGATGTTCGTGGCGGAGGGCGGCGGCGGCGATACCTTCTCGGCCAGCTGGCCCGTCGAGTTCGACTTTTTGCAGAAGTAAAAATCGGCTTCATCATCCGTATCGCCGTAGCCATAGGGATAGCCACGGTGCGTGGGCAACGTGGCCGTTGTCCTGGCCTGCAACAGCTCGTCCAGCGCCTGCGCCGACTGCTGTTTGGCCTGTGCGCGGCCGCCATTCAAATTGATCTCCACCAGATCCGAGTGGCATGTCTCAGCCGCCGGCGCTTGGAAGCTGAACCTCAGTTGCCGGCTCATGTCTGCTTACTGCGGCGCTTGGCTGGCGCAAGTGTTTCTTATTTAGTTTGAATTTGGGTTAAAGTACAAGACAGGTGAAGAAAGAAAATGAAATAACAAAAACATCAGCCAAATGTTTGTCAAGTGCTGTGTGTGTAATTTTGAAAACCAGTTGTCGTTATTTTTCTGCTATTTTTTCAAATTTTTTTTTTTATATTTGTTATTTGTTTCCTGCTCTTCGATCTGAGTTGTTTTTTCATATTTACCTAACATTATTTTCATGGCTCAACTGTTAACGTTTGAACTTGAAAGCGCCAAGGTAGCGCCAAAAGCTAAAGCCACTAGAAAAGCTTTCACCATTGCCAGAAAGCTCCAGCGTAGGCAGACGTTAGCTTGAGCGGCGCGTGTTTTGTATCCAGCTGCAGCCCCGTTGGCTTTGAGCTTTCGCTTTTGTTCGACTTGCGCGCTGAAAGCACAAAATCAAACAGACTTTGACATTGCTCTCCGTTCATATAGCTGGTTTTTGTTGTTGTTGTTTTTGTTGAGAGAAGCGCTGATAATTAGAAGCAAACCAAACTCCCGTTATTGGCCGCGCCTTGATCCACAATGCTCGCGATCGATGTACATATGTATATCTTGTAAGGGGTGCTTCAAGTTGATTTTATACCCTTGTAGAGGGTATAAGTATTTTGTCACGAATTGTTTAATGCATTGATCGTCTGTTTTTAAAGATAAATTGACCATACATGGGGTTAACGAGCTTACCAATTTGCCAAAATACAATAAAAAAACCTTTTTCTAAATTTCTGAAAAAAATACCTTTAAATATGAACTTTTAGAAAATATTTTCCATTATTAGGGACATACATTTTTTTTTAATTTTGGGCGATTCAAGTTTTAAGTTTCTGTCCAAATTTTTCTATATTACAGTGCGAACTTGCACTGAATATAAGCCAAGTTTTATATGTGAGCTCTAACTGAATAATAGCAACCAACGGTAAAAATCACCTTGATTCACGACAATTAGTTTCATAAATTTCAAAACAATTTAGATGGAAAAATTACATATAAGCCAAATCTTAACAACAACAGATCACTATATCGTATAGAGAATCGGTCGAAAAAAGTCTTTTTAAAGAAAACTTATTTTTTTCTAGATATCTTGACCATACTAAGCAATCACGAGCTTCACTATATTCCTAATATATCTGCCAAGCAGTGTTCTTCAAACATTTATATCGTATGAGTCGGAAATAAAGCAATTCCAACCCAAGGGTATATAATCTTCGGTCGTTCATTCTTGTTTTTATTAGCAGCGAGCTTTCAACTGAGTCTCTTTGCTGTGACGTCAGATGATGAGGCTTAAATTTGATATGAGTAAACAAAAGTACACGTACTAAGGCACTTCACTCGTTCTACTGTACCCAGAGCTATAAATTCTAGCACATAATCTTTGATCTTGTTATACCCTGTTCCTAACGGGAATAAAGAGTACATTACCTCAACCTCATTATCAATTCCTGGCTAACTCTTAATTCGCACTCTCAATATGTAATATTTTAGAGTGATAAGAGAGTATATAAGAGACTTCTAGGCAGATATAATCTGACTGGATTCTATATTTGAACAATATCTTGGAAAGTTGAGATGAAAAATAAACACTTGTGCCCTGCTTTAAATCCATTTCCCATGCCCAGTAGCGTTTCCACTTGCTAATATATTATCAACAGCTATAAAAATAAAACGACCGAAAGTGTAATATATGGTGAAATACTCGGACCCAGCCCCCTCTCAATAGATTCAAGCGATACAAGGGCTCACACAAGCGACGTCACAGAGCGGGTGAGTCACAGAGCGGGTCTCATGCAGAGCTCGCACTGATCTCTTTATAAATATATTAACATACAGATCTTGACTGTTTGTGTTTACATGCACAAATATCGGTGATGAGCGGAAACAAGTCTACGAACTGCCAAAAAACTAAACCTAATTGGCCACATATTGTGGCCAAGGTGTTTGCCAGCTAATCGCTGGCAGCAAAACTGCTGATAAGATACGCCCGAATTGGCTTGAATAGGCCCAGCTATGGCCTGAGTTGGACGGGCGTATAGTCAGCACCCGATTTTCTCGCTGGCTTCAGTCGAACGACAGCCAGCAAGCCGCGCGGTCGAGCCTAGCTCCAACAGCCAGAGAAACAAAGCTCCAACATGGACAGCAAGCAGCCACCGCCATATAGCGCGATGCCGCAGCCGATGCCCGGCTATACGCCAGCACAGACCTATCAGCCGTACCCGTCGGGACCCACACAGCCGCCGCTGTATCCGCCGATGCCACAGCCGCCGCAGCAGTCCACGGTGATCATACAGACGACAACCACATCCAATCTGGTGCCCATTGGCAGCGGGCCGACGCGCATACGTTGCCCCTCCTGTCATGCGGAGGTGGTGACCACCGTTAAGAGCACACCCTCCGGCCGTACACACTGCTGGGCCATGGTTCTATGTCTATTTATGTAAGTAGATTTGTGTGTGTGTGTGTGTGTGGGTGTGTGTGTGTGTGGGCGTGTGGCAGCAGGTGAATCAGTTTCAATTGCAATTGGGCCACAAGCAACAAGTGACATTCGCTCAAAAAAACGGCGCTGTACATAACCAGACGCTTATCTGAAGTGCAATTGTGTGTGAGTGTGTGTGTGTGCGTGTGTGTGTGTGTGCGTGTGTACCATTGTTATCTCAACTGGCTGCGGAGTTCAGTCAGATAACACAGAAACAACTGCGTTAAACTGTCACAATGCCGTATTTCGATGGAAAAACCTTTTATTATGCTCGTTATAAACATATACATATACATTCATTTATTTATAAATAACTATAAATAACTAATATATATTCTTATGCTTCTTCTTCTTCTTCACCTCTAGCTGCTGGCCCTGTGTGTGCCTGCCCTACTGCATGGACTCCTGCCAGAATGCCAATCATTACTGCCCCAACTGCAGCTCCTACATAGGCACCTACGAGAATTAATATATAAATACATACGCATACACATACATATACGTGTATATGTATGTATTCTAATTAAGCACATGTGTACATAGATCTTAACTCTGAACGAATTAATATTTTTTGCCGACTAAGCGAATGCGAACGAACTGTAAATATACGAGTATATCAAGTAAATTATTACGTATACGCATTGTTCTTTTTTCTCTTCACCTTTTTATGGGAAGAGCAGGTGTACTGGTTGTGCATGTCTGTGAATGACCATTTTTGGTTGTTGTTTTTTTTAGCAGGTTTCGATTATATTATCAAGATAATAAATATAACTTAAGTTCATAACATAATCTATATACATGATAATATTTGTAAGTAATAATTGAAACAGGTAGAAGTGGTCGAGACTGTTCGACTAGGAGATACCTTTAGGTATATTCCTGCTTCTATCTATATATATTTACGTCTGTGCTTCCTCTTCCCTTAGCCCGATACTGTGGGAAATTTGTTTTTTAATAACTTATGTGTTTACTGTCCGATTATTACCAAATTTGCAGGGCTTAAATAAGGCAATCAAGAGTTTCTATATACCAAATTTGAAAGCTATGCCCTTTAAACCGAGAAGATCAGGCGGTGGCACCGAAAAAGTTACAATTTTGAATCTTTTTGGTTCAATATTCGTGGCCCTTTATACCAAATTTGGTGTCTCTTGTTGGTTGACCTCTGAGATGAGCCCCAAAAGTTTAATCTAAAATTCGATTTATATCGATTTCATAAGATTTTATTCGTATTAGTCCCTCATGAGTTGAAAACAATACGTTCCCAATGACAAGCCTTCGGGAGGGACTATACTATAGTGATAGTATAAGAGATCGATGCGGTTATATGGACAGGCAGGCACGCGGTTAAACTGAAGAACATGACTCAATCGACTCGGCTGCTGATGCTGATTAAGAATATATATATAGTTTATGTTGTCGGATAAGCTATTTTCTGCCTGTGATAAATTTTCACAAAAGGGACTATACGCTTTTTTTATATTATACAGTATTATATTCACAAATAAGCATCCTCTGATTGCCTAAAAGCCCTGTCAAGAAATTGATTTTTATCGACTTCGCGATCACGAGACGAATAAGCGAAATCTGGTTAGGCTCCATGCCGTATTTAACAGGATCCGAGTTGCATCTTACGTAGCGTATTTCGCCCATTTTTTATCCAGATTATAAGAATATAAATTGTTGAAATTAGAATTAAATGCATATATGTATATAGCTCATACAATCTCTAGCTAGCTAACTTCATTAAGTTATCTAAGATAATGAGATAGTTGAACAAGACTAAGTTCCATTCAGTAAATTTATCAAGATCCAATGGTATATAGAGAGAGATATATAACCCATTTAAAATGCTGCTGGGCTTATCAACAGTTTCCGAATGTACCAACTGTTGAAATGAGTCAACTTTATAGAAAATGCAGGTCGTAAATACCTCAACAATAATTGTTTTACAGACCACTTTTAGCCATGAGTCAGACCTATTGAAAGCACTTAACAATCCTTAAATAAAACAAATAAAACTACGTTTTACCGTGAGGAATTAGCATTAGGCGAAACTCTGACAATTAATCGTAAAAAGTCCCCTTTGGTTTCAGTGTTCTCTCCCTATCTCCCTCGCTCGATGTCTCTTTCTGATTCTCATTCTCTTTTTTTATCAGTTATGACCGCACCTTGTAAGATAACGCGACACGATATCAGACTGTGGAACCGTATGGTAGGTTCTACAGAAGCACCTATATATGCTTCATTGTGGGGGAAACCATCGAACAGTTAACAGTTAGTTGGGATTATTCGAGCAAGAGCAACATGAGCCAGGGATACACGCCAGCGCAGACCTACCAGCCCGGAGGACCCCATGTGGTCATACACACGACAACCACGACGAATGTGGTGCCCATTGGCAGCGACCCGTCGCGTGTCCAGTGCCCCTCCTGCCACGCCGACATCCTGACCAATGTGAAGCGAACGCCCACGGGACGCACCCACTGCTGGGCCCTGATCTTGTGCCTGTTCCTGTAAGTCGCCAAGCTCCAAAAGCCCTGCGCATGACTCATCTGTGAACTGGGCAAATTGAGCTCGTTGAGTCATCCATGAATCATTCACAATCAGTTCGGCGCGCTGCGCCTGTTGAGTGCACTGATAATTGAAATACATTTCGAAATGATTTCTTTCTTTTATTCCCCTTGCAGCTGCTGGCCTTGTGTTTGTGTGCCCTATTGCATGGACTCCTGCCAGAACGCTGAGCACTCCTGCCCCAATTGCGGCGCCTACATTGGCACCTACGAGAACTAAACTAAGACCTAAATTTAAGAACGATTTGTATATTTAAAATTAAGCTAAAGTCTCAAATTAAAGCCCCGCGATCACGACTGAATCCATAGAATCTTATAAATTTCATATATATCAAATATGGATTTACTGCATGATTTTTCGATTTGCTCAGCTTTACCCGGACTACGTTTTTTCTTAGAATTTTAGACCCTGTCTGTTCATCCTCGCCCATCAGAATTGTAATAAAATTTCTATAGATATTTGAAAATGAATTTGTGGACTGGACTTTAACAATCCAACCAAATAATTTCCTAGAATGATTCTGAAAAATGATTTGGAGCCCGTAAACACGTTCGTCAAAACTTTAAGCCTCACTTTCTACCATAAAGGGTTGGATTTTGAGAAAAGTGTGGATCAAAGATCCGTGAAAATGAGTTTTAGGTCGAAAGAAAGGCACAGAAAGTAATTAAATGCAACTGTTTTCACGAATTTTCCACACTTGCGGGTGGATTTGCCAAGCAACCTGTCTTGGCACCTAAAGACGCAATTACCGCTTTATAGCTTTTACAGGACCAAATTTTATTTTATATAAAGGAATAATCTTTAATAAGTTAAGATTGAGTATAACATTTTCAATACATAGCAATACAATACAATACTTCCAAGCTTTTTGTGCGAACAACTTAAGAAAATGTTAGGAATATTAGATGATAAGGTCTAATAAGTGTGTACCCCATAAAAGTTGTCCATCATTATCTTTTTGCAGTCTTTCTTGATAGGAAATACATTTTTCGTCGATTACACTCATTTCTAAAAGTTGATGACCCATTTTGGACATTATGTCAATTTTCAGAGAAACAGGTTGTTAAAGTGCTAAAGTGCCCTTTAACTTGAAAAGTCCCCCATTTCCCAGATGTCAGTGCCAGCTAATCTATGCCAGCTGTGCAGCTTTAACAGATAAGTTCGATATCAGCCAAACTCGTGGACTTTTTATAATTTGGGCACATTATCAGGCCTTAGTTCGTGTGTGGCTTATTTAGTAAAACAATAAACAGCAAGCTGAACGGTTCGATTGCTTAGTGACAATTTATATAGAAAAAGAAACGGAACTATCATGGAAAAACAGGAGCCGCCACCGTACACTGAGCAGCCGCTGCCGGAAACGCAACCGCAGCCAATGCCACAGGCAACACCTCAAGCGCAGATCAGGTTTGTGCCCGTGCAGGGTCCGACGCAGCCACCTCTCTATCCACCGATGCAGCAGCAACCCTGTTCCTGTGTCGTGATACACACAACAACACAACCTGTCCATGTGCCGGTGGGCAGGGATCCGACCTTCGTACGTTGCCCCACCTGCCAGAACGATGTGGTGACCACAATTCAAAGTACGCCCACAGGACGAACGCATATGTGGGCCCTGCTACTGTGTCTAGTTGGGTAAGCTATTTAGTTGACTCGGTTAACAGTTAAGTTTCATTGGAACTGTATTGTTACCTGAAAACCTTCAATCATCAAATTGTAGTAGCAAAGACTAACCAAAAATGATTCGACAATTGGAAGACAACCGTATTAGAGCTTGCTTATAGAGCTTGTCGAATTCATTAGTTATCAGTAACAGCAATTATCTAATCTCCCCACTCTCCCACACAGCTGCTGGCCCTGTGTTTGCGTACCCTACTGCATGGACTCCTGTAAGACGGCGAACCACTACTGTCCCGTCTGCAATGCCTTTATAGGCAGCCGAATGCTCTAAAAGTATTAGGAAATCAAAATTCAAAACTGTGCTTTAATAAAGGAACTGACCTAATGTAAAATATAAGACATAACTATTTATTACGTTAAAAAATAACTTATATTAACTAATATCCTATAACTTTTATAAACACTATCCGATGTCGGGATAATATACCATTTTGGACTCTTAAGGATCAATACTATCAATACAAAAAATCAATCACGTTTTTCGTCGGCTCGAAAATCGAAATTTTTTTGATTATTTTTTTTAATATTTTGGGTAAATATAGCCTGATTTTGAAATGTTATACCTTTTTAAATTTGTACGGATCCCTACTATATCCGTACGAATTAAAAAAGATGTAACATTTCAAAATCTGACAATATTTGGCCGAAATAGTCAAAAAAAATCATCAAAAAAGTTCTGATTTTCGAACCGACCCCGATTTTTAGAAAAAAGGTGATGTAACCCCTTGCCATTTGGCCGATTTTAGTCAAAATTTAGATTTTCATTTTTTCCCTACTATCAATTGGCTTTCAACCATTTTAAAAATTGATGGGTTTAGAAGTGGTTTACCAAAAACCGATTCGTTTGTAAAGTCAACCGTTTTTGATGATTTTTTGGAATATCACAGCCAAATAATGTCCGATTTGGAAATTTTATACCATTTTGGACTCTTTAGGATCAGTACTATCGATTGGCATCAAAAAAATGAAAATCTAAATTTTGACCAAAATCGGCCAAATGGCAAGGGGTCACGTTTTTTCCTTAAAATCGGGGTCGGTTCGAAAATCAAAACTTTTTTGAGGATTTTTTTTGACTATCTTGGCCAAATAATGTCAGCTTTTGAAATGTTACACCTTTTTGAATTCGTACGGATCCCTATTATCAATTGGCATTCAAACATTTTAAAAATCGATGGGTTAAAAAAAGTGGTTGACCAAAAACCGATTCGTTTCTAAAGTCAACCGCTTTTGATGCTGTTTTGGAATATCACAGCCAAATAATGTCCGATTTGGAATTTTTATGGCATGTATGTTGATTGGAAAGATTGGTCGCATTCAACTCGTGGTTACAGCCATTTTTAGCCAACGTCGTCATATATGGGCCATTTCTTCAGATTTGTTGTCAATCGATAGTCGGGATCCGTGAAAAAAGAGGTATATCATTTCGAAATCAGACATATGGTACCCGAGATATTTCAATTTTAATTTTTTCAAGATCGGGGTTTATTTGTCCAAGATACCAGCCATTTTAAAAACGCGAAAAAATGCCGTTATAATTTTCAAGATTTTTCGTTTTTTTGCGATAATTCGGTTAAAAATGGTCCGATTTTGGAAAGATATACATACCTTTTTGAACTCGTACTGATCGACTGGCATACCACGTTTTTTTCTTTTTCAATCGGCTGGGGAGACGTTCAAGTTACATCTGAACTATATAGGATATACATACATATCGCTTAATTGATATTAACTAACTTGCTAGTATTTTCCTACTGATCAGTACTGGGTATTTTCATAAGAACTTAAAACATATCTTATTTAATATAAATTGCCCAAGTGCAGCAATTTTGCCAAGCTGTGTTTTAAAGCTGCATATATTTAGTTATATCTATTTGTTAAATACCATTTATTGTCTAGCTCCTCGGTTGGAAACACATATGAATGCTTCACTTTTGTCTTTATTTGTATGATATATAACTAGAACGTGTTTTTTTTTTTACCAAAAATATGTTTACTGGGCTACAATTATGTTTTGCAAGGCTTTTGAGCACTTTTTCCGTTTTGTGCACTGATAATGTTGCTTGTGTTGTCATCTCACTCGCACAAATATGAAGAATGCTCAAAACTTTGCTTCCTCTTGCCGTAGTTCGTTTTTTGCGCTTTGCTCATTTCGTTTGTATTCTTGGAATAAGTCGCCGGTCGCTTCGCTCGCTTTGCTAAGTATTTTGACAAATAAATACCTAAAGTTCATAAATATAAAGTAATCATGTACAAACGTAAATATTCATAGAATTGTATAGGGCAAAGTGTGAAAAATTGTAAATGCATTTTAAATAAAAGATTTCTATACATATGTACATACATTTGTGCACGCTCGGACATATGTACATACATATTTATATTACGGTTCTTTCCCCGCAATAACGACGCAGTAGTCCAATCGTAATATTGATAGCACTTTGATTTCCAGGCACGTGTAACTAGCCATGGAATACACCAAACTGCCTCCACAACCGCCGCCGTACTCACCTGAGCAGCCCGACATGAGGGCAGCCCCGAGTGCTCCGCCAACCGAAATGATTCATACAGCACCAATGTATAACCCGCCGGTCACCGTGGTAAACCAAGCCCCCCCGATCACCATATTGAACCAAACCAGCACTGTTCTTATCGATAACAACTCGGGCAATGGCATGATTTGTCCCCATTGCCATGCTCGGATTCGCATGCGTGTGGAGCACCATGCAACATGCACCACCTATATGTGGTCCGCTATACTCTGCCTCTTTCTGTAAGTGTACACAAACGGCGTGACGTTTCAGTTTCTGATTTCGGCAAAAAATCGCAGCGTATCTAATTGCAATTCGTCTTCCCCCACAGCTGCTGGCCGTGCGTCTGTTTGCCCTGCTGCTGCGATTGCGGCTATAGAACCAGCCAATACTGCCCGAATTGTAAGGCCTGCCTGGGCAGATTCTAGGACTGGAAACTGCAGAGCTCATCCAAAAATACAACGAAAACACGTACATTCATATCTGTACATGCCAATAAGCATATAAACTCTAACCACACAAGCACATATATATGCCGATATATTTCATATATGCGCACTCCAACAAAGAACATACATACATATGTATGTACGTACATTTGATTTATAAAAACGGGAGATAAAGACGCGGCTCTTGAAATACTACCCTTGCTTTTAGCAAGCATTTCGTTTCAATAACAAAAATGGATAAACAGCACATTTTCAAAGTAAACAGTTTCGCAAATTTCCCATGTCAACGTACGGACTCGTATATACACATAACTATGCATTTATTATATTTTTCTGAAAAATACAAAATATATTTAACGAACAAATACAATTGCACATTGTTTGAATTTCACATATACTTATACTTACAAGAAATATTTGTTATCTGTTAAATTATCAAAATAAAGGAGTTACTAGCTCATGTTTCAGCAACACGTTCGCAACATTGTTGCCAAGCTATGTTTCGGTTCTCGTCGCACTGTGGCTAATGAGCAAATTTAATAGGGTAAAATGCTGTTGTGCTTAGGCATAAAGTAACTTGGCTTTATGTAAAAGATATTTATATTTTAAATATTAACGTCATTTCAAATCAGTTTTAGCTCGATAAGTAGAGAGAAGGGTTGCTAAATTATCGATCGATAACGCTTGAGACTCGAATTTTACTGTCACGGTGTTGCCAATTTGTCATCAGGTGGCAACACCTAAACATAACTGATAAGTCCACATTCGGCTTGCATTTAAAAGAGCACTTTTTTCATATGGGTCACTTTTTAAGCCCATGAAAATGGAAACTGCGCCACTGTGCATAATTTGAGGGTTAACATGCCAACAATCGGTTGGCTGCGGCTCATCTGACTAAAATCGGTCAAATGGCAAGGGGTTACATCACCTTTTTTCTAAAAATCGGGGTCGGTTCGAAAATCAAAACTTTTTTGAGGATTTTTTTTGACTATCTTGGCCAAATAATGTCAGCTTTTGAAATGTTACACCTTTTTGAATTCGTACGGATCCCTATTATCAATTGGCATTCAAACATTTTAAAAATCGATGGGTTAAAAAAAGTGGTTGACCAAAAACCGATTCGTTTCTAAAGTCAACCGCTTTTGATGCTGTTTTGGAATATCACAGCCAAATAATGTCCGATTTGGAATTTTTATGGCATGTATGTTGATTGGAAAGATTGGTCGCATTCAACTCGTGGTTACAGCCATTTTTAGCCAACGTCGTCATATATGGGCCATTTCTTCAGATTTGTTGTCAATCGATAGTCGGGATCCGTGAAAAAAGAGGTATATCATTTCGAAATCAGACATATGGTACCCGAGATATTTCAATTTTAATTTTTTCAAGATCGGGGTTTATTTGTCCAAGATACCAGCCATTTTAAAAACGCGAAAAAATGCCGTTATAATTTTCAAGATTTTTCGTTTTTTTGCGATAATTCGGTTAAAAATGGTCCGATTTTGGAAAGATATACATACCTTTTTGAACTCGTACTGATCGACTGGCATACCACGTTTTTTTCTTTTTCAATCGGCTGGGGAGACGTTCAAGTTACATCTGAACTATATAGGATATACATACATATCGCTTAATTGATATTAACTAACTTGCTAGTATTTTCCTACTGATCAGTACTGGGTATTTTCATAAGAACTTAAAACATATCTTATTTAATATAAATTGCCCAAGTGCAGCAATTTTGCCAAGCTGTGTTTTAAAGCTGCATATATTTAGTTATATCTATTTGTTAAATACCATTTATTGTCTAGCTCCTCGGTTGGAAACACATATGAATGCTTCACTTTTGTCTTTATTTGTATGATATATAACTAGAACGTGTTTTTTTTTTACCAAAAATATGTTTACTGGGCTACAATTATGTTTTGCAAGGCTTTTGAGCACTTTTTCCGTTTTGTGCACTGATAATGTTGCTTGTGTTGTCATCTCACTCGCACAAATATGAAGAATGCTCAAAACTTTGCTTCCTCTTGCCGTAGTTCGTTTTTTGCGCTTTGCTCATTTCGTTTGTATTCTTGGAATAAGTCGCCGGTCGCTTCGCTCGCTTTGCTAAGTATTTTGACAAATAAATACCTAAAGTTCATAAATATAAAGTAATCATGTACAAACGTAAATATTCATAGAATTGTATAGGGCAAAGTGTGAAAAATTGTAAATGCATTTTAAATAAAAGATTTCTATACATATGTACATACATTTGTGCACGCTCGGACATATGTACATACATATTTATATTACGGTTCTTTCCCCGCAATAACGACGCAGTAGTCCAATCGTAATATTGATAGCACTTTGATTTCCAGGCACGTGTAACTAGCCATGGAATACACCAAACTGCCTCCACAACCGCCGCCGTACTCACCTGAGCAGCCCGACATGAGGGCAGCCCCGAGTGCTCCGCCAACCGAAATGATTCATACAGCACCAATGTATAACCCGCCGGTCACCGTGGTAAACCAAGCCCCCCCGATCACCATATTGAACCAAACCAGCACTGTTCTTATCGATAACAACTCGGGCAATGGCATGATTTGTCCCCATTGCCATGCTCGGATTCGCATGCGTGTGGAGCACCATGCAACATGCACCACCTATATGTGGTCCGCTATACTCTGCCTCTTTCTGTAAGTGTACACAAACGGCGTGACGTTTCAGTTTCTGATTTCGGCAAAAAATCGCAGCGTATCTAATTGCAATTCGTCTTCCCCCACAGCTGCTGGCCGTGCGTCTGTTTGCCCTGCTGCTGCGATTGCGGCTATAGAACCAGCCAATACTGCCCGAATTGTAAGGCCTGCCTGGGCAGATTCTAGGACTGGAAACTGCAGAGCTCATCCAAAAATACAACGAAAACACGTACATTCATATCTGTACATGCCAATAAGCATATAAACTCTAACCACACAAGCACATATATATGCCGATATATTTCATATATGCGCACTCCAACAAAGAACATACATACATATGTATGTACGTACATTTGATTTATAAAAACGGGAGATAAAGACGCGGCTCTTGAAATACTACCCTTGCTTTTAGCAAGCATTTCGTTTCAATAACAAAAATGGATAAACAGCACATTTTCAAAGTAAACAGTTTCGCAAATTTCCCATGTCAACGTACGGACTCGTATATACACATAACTATGCATTTATTATATTTTTCTGAAAAATACAAAATATATTTAACGAACAAATACAATTGCACATTGTTTGAATTTCACATATACTTATACTTACAAGAAATATTTGTTATCTGTTAAATTATCAAAATAAAGGAGTTACTAGCTCATGTTTCAGCAACACGTTCGCAACATTGTTGCCAAGCTATGTTTCGGTTCTCGTCGCACTGTGGCTAATGAGCAAATTTAATAGGGTAAAATGCTGTTGTGCTTAGGCATAAAGTAACTTGGCTTTATGTAAAAGATATTTATATTTTAAATATTAACGTCATTTCAAATCAGTTTTAGCTCGATAAGTAGAGAGAAGGGTTGCTAAATTATCGATCGATAACGCTTGAGACTCGAATTTTACTGTCACGGTGTTGCCAATTTGTCATCAGGTGGCAACACCTAAACATAACTGATAAGTCCACATTCGGCTTGCATTTAAAAGAGCACTTTTTTCATATGGGTCACTTTTTAAGCCCATGAAAATGGAAACTGCGCCACTGTGCATAATTTGAGGGTTAACATGCCAACAATCGGTTGGCTGCGGCTCATCTGACTAAAATCGGTCAAATGGCAAGGGGTTACATCACCTTTTTTCTAAAAATCGGGGTCGGTTCGAAAATCAAAACTTTTTTGAGGATTTTTTTTGACTATCTTGGCCAAATAATGTCAGCTTTTGAAATGTTACACCTTTTTGAATTCGTACGGATCCCTATTATCAATTGGCATTCAAACATTTTAAAAATCGATGGGTTAAAAAAAGTGGTTGACCAAAAACCGATTCGTTTCTAAAGTCAACCGCTTTTGATGCTGTTTTGGAATATCACAGCCAAATAATGTCCGATTTGGAATTTTTATGGCATGTATGTTGATTGGAAAGATTGGTCGCATTCAACTCGTGGTTACAGCCATTTTTAGCCAACGTCGTCATATATGGGCCATTTCTTCAGATTTGTTGTCAATCGATAGTCGGGATCCGTGAAAAAAGAGGTATATCATTTCGAAATCAGACATATGGTACCCGAGATATTTCAATTTTAATTTTTTCAAGATCGGGGTTTATTTGTCCAAGATACCAGCCATTTTAAAAACGCGAAAAAATGCCGTTATAATTTTCAAGATTTTTCGTTTTTTTGCGATAATTCGGTTAAAAATGGTCCGATTTTGGAAAGATATACATACCTTTTTGAACTCGTACTGATCGACTGGCATACCACGTTTTTTTCTTTTTCAATCGGCTGGGGAGACGTTCAAGTTACATCTGAACTATATAGGATATACATACATATCGCTTAATTGATATTAACTAACTTGCTAGTATTTTCCTACTGATCAGTACTGGGTATTTTCATAAGAACTTAAAACATATCTTATTTAATATAAATTGCCCAAGTGCAGCAATTTTGCCAAGCTGTGTTTTAAAGCTGCATATATTTAGTTATATCTATTTGTTAAATACCATTTATTGTCTAGCTCCTCGGTTGGAAACACATATGAATGCTTCACTTTTGTCTTTATTTGTATGATATATAACTAGAACGTGTTTTTTTTTTTACCAAAAATATGTTTACTGGGCTACAATTATGTTTTGCAAGGCTTTTGAGCACTTTTTCCGTTTTGTGCACTGATAATGTTGCTTGTGTTGTCATCTCACTCGCACAAATATGAAGAATGCTCAAAACTTTGCTTCCTCTTGCCGTAGTTCGTTTTTTGCGCTTTGCTCATTTCGTTTGTATTCTTGGAATAAGTCGCCGGTCGCTTCGCTCGCTTTGCTAAGTATTTTGACAAATAAATACCTAAAGTTCATAAATATAAAGTAATCATGTACAAACGTAAATATTCATAGAATTGTATAGGGCAAAGTGTGAAAAATTGTAAATGCATTTTAAATAAAAGATTTCTATACATATGTACATACATTTGTGCACGCTCGGACATATGTACATACATATTTATATTACGGTTCTTTCCCCGCAATAACGACGCAGTAGTCCAATCGTAATATTGATAGCACTTTGATTTCCAGGCACGTGTAACTAGCCATGGAATACACCAAACTGCCTCCACAACCGCCGCCGTACTCACCTGAGCAGCCCGACATGAGGGCAGCCCCGAGTGCTCCGCCAACCGAAATGATTCATACAGCACCAATGTATAACCCGCCGGTCACCGTGGTAAACCAAGCCCCCCCGATCACCATATTGAACCAAACCAGCACTGTTCTTATCGATAACAACTCGGGCAATGGCATGATTTGTCCCCATTGCCATGCTCGGATTCGCATGCGTGTGGAGCACCATGCAACATGCACCACCTATATGTGGTCCGCTATACTCTGCCTCTTTCTGTAAGTGTACACAAACGGCGTGACGTTTCAGTTTCTGATTTCGGCAAAAAATCGCAGCGTATCTAATTGCAATTCGTCTTCCCCCACAGCTGCTGGCCGTGCGTCTGTTTGCCCTGCTGCTGCGATTGCGGCTATAGAACCAGCCAATACTGCCCGAATTGTAAGGCCTGCCTGGGCAGATTCTAGGACTGGAAACTGCAGAGCTCATCCAAAAATACAACGAAAACACGTACATTCATATCTGTACATGCCAATAAGCATATAAACTCTAACCACACAAGCACATATATATGCCGATATATTTCATATATGCGCACTCCAACAAAGAACATACATACATATGTATGTACGTACATTTGATTTATAAAAACGGGAGATAAAGACGCGGCTCTTGAAATACTACCCTTGCTTTTAGCAAGCATTTCGTTTCAATAACAAAAATGGATAAACAGCACATTTTCAAAGTAAACAGTTTCGCAAATTTCCCATGTCAACGTACGGACTCGTATATACACATAACTATGCATTTATTATATTTTTCTGAAAAATACAAAATATATTTAACGAACAAATACAATTGCACATTGTTTGAATTTCACATATACTTATACTTACAAGAAATATTTGTTATCTGTTAAATTATCAAAATAAAGGAGTTACTAGCTCATGTTTCAGCAACACGTTCGCAACATTGTTGCCAAGCTATGTTTCGGTTCTCGTCGCACTGTGGCTAATGAGCAAATTTAATAGGGTAAAATGCTGTTGTGCTTAGGCATAAAGTAACTTGGCTTTATGTAAAAGATATTTATATTTTAAATATTAACGTCATTTCAAATCAGTTTTAGCTCGATAAGTAGAGAGAAGGGTTGCTAAATTATCGATCGATAACGCTTGAGACTCGAATTTTACTGTCACGGTGTTGCCAATTTGTCATCAGGTGGCAACACCTAAACATAACTGATAAGTCCACATTCGGCTTGCATTTAAAAGAGCACTTTTTTCATATGGGTCACTTTTTAAGCCCATGAAAATGGAAACTGCGCCACTGTGCATAATTTGAGGGTTAACATGCCAACAATCGGTTGGCTGCGGCTCATCTGCGTTGCGAACTTCAAAACGCTTTCGTCGCTACAACGAGCAACAAGTACGCGACGGCAACGCTTCTAATCTGAAGAAGTTCTATTTGCGCTATATACATAAATAAATAAACATATATACACATATCTCAAAACTGTGAGTATACAAATTGGCAGCTGGCAGCGATCAGTTCGATGACGAGACTATTGATGAATCTTAAGAAAATGTTTATGTTCGAATTTGAAATTTATTTATGCGGCGCGAGTGCGGCAAAGACTAATTTATTTTATTTATTAAATTGTGTGTACTCTACGTGAAATCCCTAAAAGTAGGCAATAAAGCGGACAGTCAAAGCATAATAACACATTAACACATTGTCCAGGGGATTGATGGAGATAGCGTTACACACCCAAAATATGATGGACACGCCCTACATAACCTAAGGAGTGGAGCTTTGGAGAGGTGGTGGGGGGTGGGGGGTTGAGGCGTAGATCGAGAGAATATTTGTAGTAGTGGCTAGTTGTTTTTATTTGTACAGCCCTTTGTTGTCTCTCTGCCCAAGTTGGGGTTGCTGGGACTTGTTTTGCATGACGACATCGTAGTGTGGCATGTGGCAGACACTTTCGCTGGCGCCACAAACTGACATCATGGACAGAAATTGTGAAAAGGCCGGCGTATTATGATATCAGGGGAGTCGCTTAAGTGAATGCTGGCGGGGCTATTGAAATTAATTTGCCTGCCGCATGCCAAGCAATTATCCAGTATCAGCGCGCATTTTTGTTAAGCTCGTATGCAATTAGCAATAGAGTCAAATGAAAGTACGTTGAAACAACAACAAATAACGAACCACGAACAGGTTGCTATTAGAATGTTTTAAAATGGGGTTTCCAGATGACATTGCACTGATTGCCACACGCCAGTTGGCATGCAATGCCGAACGAGAAGGCCAACACCAACTTCAAATCGATATCTAACCAAGCCCTTGCATATTTCTTACGAAAGCAAAATGTCAACACCTGTCGGTCCGGAGCCCAGCAATGTGGTCTGCCCCAACTGCCATCAACAGGTGACCACGCGCACCGAGCCAAAGGCCAGCACCAAGACGCACTTGATAGCGCTAATCATGTGCCTCACCTGGTAAGCAATCGCTCTGCCAAACTATATTAAGTTCCTCCGACTAATGGCTACTAAATTATTTATTCTCCCAGCTGCTGGCCCTGCGCCTGCTGCTTGTATTGCACGGATTGTGCGCGCAACATGGATCACTTCTGCCCCTCGTGCAACGCCTTTGTCGGCACCTACGAGCGCTGAAAAGTCCTGACAACCTTTTGACAGTTTGAAGTACACCTGATATTTCCAGCTAGATGCACAGCTAGTTAACTTCAAAGCACAGCCCAATTGCAGTGTCCTGCTTCTATGGATACACATTTCTTCTTTTTACATACAGTCGAGCTACGCTTTAACGAATGTTGTTATTGGGTACAGTTTTTAACATACATAATATTTTTAATATCTAATATATATTTAAAAAACGCTTTGAGCTTATTTTGGGTCAACAAAAAAGTTTACAGCAAAGCGAAGAAAAGATATTGTAAAAGGAATACAGTAAAACCTCAAAGATAAGCACTTTTTTAAATACGTTTTAAGAATTAAAGCAACAAATCTTAAATAATGCGAAAAAATATTGGCATTCCCATAAAATGCAAGATACAATCAGAATATTATTGCCTATGAAGACTTTCATTGTAGCGAAGTACGACTGTAACTTAGTGCATTTAACATTTACTCGTATGCAATCATTTTGATGTTAGAGAAAAAAATAGTAATGTGTATGTCAATTGTTTTTCGAAATGTCGGACATTAAATAAATATTCAAGTCAAGTGCCAAATAGTCCTTAATGGGTCGATTATCGCGTATACGCCACGTAATGTCAAATGGCCAACTGTACATGGGAAGCTAGCTATAAAAAGCCGCCGAGTTTCAGGCGCTTATCACATAGCTTAATATGGAGACGGATATCAAGCAGAATTACTACGCCTACATGTCAACGACTCCAGCCCGAGCTGAGATAACAGCTCTGCCTGCGCCAGCTCCAGCGCCGGCTGCAGTGATGGTGCTCAATGCAAATGGTAAGTGATTGCATCACCTGGCAGCACCTACCCATTGATTACTGCAACTCCTTTTGCAGCCGCACCACCATTGGGGCATGAGCCGCAGCGCATGACTTGCCCCAGTTGCCGCAATGTGATGCAAACGCGCCTGGCACCGCGTGCGAATAAGAGCACGCACATGTTGGCCCTTGTACTCTGCCTAACCGGGTGAGTCAGCTAAGTGTGGCTACAACTGCTGGCACAGAGCTAAGTTCCCATGGGCGGCGCCCTTCTGTTCTGTTTTCCAGGCTGGTCTGCCTGGTGCCGCTCCCGTATTGCCTCAAGAGCTGCCGCAGCTTGGATCATTATTGCAGCTGCTGCAACCAGTACCTGGGCAAAGCCGTCAACTAATTGCACCCATTACTAAGTGCGGGACATTAAAACCATCCATTAAGTACTCTATCGGCAGAAATTAAAATTAAATTGTAAACATTTAGACAAAAACAGTTTAAACAAGTAAAAGTGCTCTAGTCGGGAGTGCCCGAATAGGATATACCCTGAACCTTCTTCTCCCAACACCAAATGTAGCCGAACCAAGAATACTTTTAAACGATTCTCGATCTGTTTATACTATTCTAAAAGCTAAGCACAGTAATTCGAGTTTGAGTTGTGAGTTATATCAATTGATTGGAAACGGGGCACGTTAAGAAAAAACAAACTCGCGAACACTAGGAAGATCGACTTGGCTTTTTATGCTGATCAAGAATTATTCCATATTTACACATTTTCAATGGGTTCTGGGAACAAAAACAAACCAAATGTGTGTATTTGTTTTTGGATCTGGTAAAGATTGCCAAGCACTGCTCGATTTCGTTTGTTATTCATAAATATGCATTAGTTGCACAAAATAGCTCTCAACTCAAGAATAACAAAGCTTTTATATACATTTACCAACAGGGAATTCGGACAATATAGTTATAGGAAAGTTCGTTACTTTGCCCACTTTTTCAATTAATATGAGATATGATGAAATTTTGATACCCTGGAGAGTCAAGAGTCACAAAACCTGTCAGATAGCTTCTAGAATAGTACACATAGGTAAAATATCTTTCATTTCATAGCTATTTATATATTTATAATTTATAATTTATAAATCAAATAAATAAATCAATTGGGACTATCCACAAATTTATGCCTCAACTTAAATGCTGCTGTTTTTTTTTTTAGAATATTCGAATATTCTTTAGCACAATAAAATCAACTGCTGAAAATTGTGCTTATATTGCAAGAAGATTTGCGTGCATGTACATTTGGATTCTATAAACAATCGCAGCTGCGATTGTATTGTATTCTGTAAAGAGAATTCCGGGAATCCCCTAATCGGGAACTACTGACCAGGGCCTTATAGTATATATTTGTCGATATAAAATAATCAATTATTGACATAAGCATATTTTTCCAAAGGGAATGTGCTGTGACTGCTTACTTAATGCACATTTGATATGCATTAGATTAAAATTGCAATTATTATTATGATGGATTTGACAAGCTTTGCCTTATATATACCCAATGCGCATGTCCTACAGCTTAAGTTGAGTTTATACTCCCTATATACGCTATGTACATGGTTTTTGACTTAAGTTGACTTTATGCTGCTTAAAGCTATTAAATAAATCTTAAACTTAAATCCTCGTTCAGCTTTGCGTGATTGGATGGCTGACGTTTTGGATTCTTCCGCTGGAAGTTGTTAAACTCACACGCGCACACACACACTCACACACACACACACACCAGGCGTATACACACTTGTGTTATTTTGCTATTGACTGACAGGCATCGGGAAAGCATCGGCATTTCACGCTACTCAGTTTCGTAGCGGGCCGCAAACGGAGCAGACCTCGTGCGGAAAACCAAAGCTGAGCAATGGACACCAAATCGCATCTCTATCCGCAAGCGCCGGACGCGCCGCCGCAATATGGCGACCTTGGACCATCGATGATGCCGACGGAGATGCAGCCGTCGGTGATGCCTGCGTCCGTGATTAACACTCAACAGCCGCAGGTTTATGTGCAGGGTTAGTGGAAGCCAGCAAATTGCCGAGCAATGGTTAAGTAAACACACAACACACAATTAATAACTTACACAGGTGTGGTACAAAATCATTTGGGCCGAATGCCAACTATGGCCACGTGCCCCTCGTGCCAGGCCCGTCTGCTGACCACGGTCAAGTCCGAGCCCAGCACCAAGACCCATCTTCTGGCGCTGCTGATTTGCCTGGTGGGGTAAGTTTCGGCCGCATTCGAGACCTTCTGTTTACCATCTAAAACCTGTTGACTTGCAGCGGCATCTGTTGCTGCTGTGTCCCGTACTGTGTGGACTCCTGCCAGAGCGCCGTGCACACCTGCTCCAGCTGTGGCGCCTTCGTGGGCAGCTACCAGAACTGAAGCTCTTCAATCTGGCTTGAAATACAATTGAAATCACAAAATACTTAACATTACTGAGTTTGTAATGTCCTCAAGATATTCCATACGATTTCCGTTCACAATTATCAATTAGATATCCAAAGGTTAAATGTTTAAATGTTTTTCAATTTGAAAAAAATATTGCATTAATCTAAAATTAAATGTTAAACCGAATTTGTATATCGCGCACATAAATGAATTATTCACTTAATTAAACGAGAAAGTTATGCAACAAATTTGTATGCATGTACAATATATACAGATGGAATATATCCCAGTTTTAGGCATAAGCTCAATTAATATATTGAACTTTTCTACAAGAGCAACTCTTTTTCGAAAGCTTATGTGTCTAAGAGAATTCCATACATTCGTATCGAGGTAGTTTATTGTTTATACCCCATTTTATGCGGGTTATTTTTCTTATTTTTAGGTAAATAAAGTCCGTAAGTTCTCAAAGAGTTACAGTATCGCAACGACAAGCAGCCACTGCGGAGCTCAACATAAAACAATTAATAGAAGGAAAGGCGATATGTCCCCAAACGTTGGTCCTGAGTCCTCCAGAGCGGTCTGCCCGATCTGTCATCTGGAGATGATGACACGAACGGAGGGCCATGCCACGACAAGAACGCACATCATAGCCCTGATCATGTGCCTGACACTGTAAGTGGAAACTTTATATACTTATATATACTTTAACTAAAGAGAGTATCAAAATTTCTGCCTTCCACCAGTTTGTGGCCCTGCGCCTGCTGCTTGTATTGCACGGACTGTGCCCGCAACGTGGACCACTATTGCTCCTCTTGCAACTCCTTTATTGGCACCTACGAACGCTAAGCTGTGGATCAAATTATGTACGATTATATATTTTGAATAAAGAAATCCAGAAACTAGAATATATCTAAATTACGCAAATGCGATAAATCTTAAAGCTGGTTGTGGAAGTTGAGCGGTAATTTGGTAACAACGAGGATGAGGGTTCGAATCCCTGGCTAGTGTGCTTTACATATCATATTTCACTTTTATTTCAATGCCTTACCAATGAGTAAGTGTTTATAATAGCAATATAAACCCAACATAACATAATCTCTTGGTATTCTATTGATGGATGTAGTATTCATTTGAAAGTAATATATATATAAGTATAATTAAAAAACATAGTTGAAGCAAACGAACAACGAAGATGACGGTTCAAATCTGGTTTTTGGATGTAGTGTGTAATGTGTTTTTGAAAACGTAGCCTACTTTTATAGTTAATAATGATAATATTAATAGAAATAATATTTATATTTTTAATAGAAACATAATATAACATGGCTCAGAGTCGATGGCCTTAGAAGCTAGCACTCCCTCCTTATATTATTTTTTTTTTGTATAATAATTAATCACATAAATAAATAAATAACATAGCTCAGGCGTTTGCACAACGAAGATGAGGGTTCGAATTTGTGTGTATTGTGCCTTTGGAAAGAGAGGCTTATAGCTTATATTCAGCGCCAATAACCATAATATTAGATAAGCATACACTAGCTATTAAAAGGGACATTATATTCAAATCGCCTCCTCTAATGGCACACATAAGACTGTCATCTATTTGGCGTTCGCTCTGGTGCATTATTATAATCATTATATTCGATGGGAGGCTATTTGAACTGCAGCCTGAGTTCATTTTACTAAGCACATTATTCATTTCACAATATTCCTTTGGTGATTAATCAATAACCCTTTGTTTTTAAAAAACATAACTGTATGACTTGCCACCTGCGGGTACTTCTTTTATGACGACACATTTTTTGCTCTCATATTCTACTTTTATTTCAAAGCCTTATCAATGACTCTCCGCACTTGGGTTCGAGCTCTCGTTAGCTTTTCAGTTCTTGGGTGGGTTTCTTTTGCGGTTTCACTCGACAAGAAGTTTCAGTTCCGCGTCAGGCTGCGAGCACTTCAGACCTTTAGAGAAGCAGCACTTAAATACATACGAAAATGGAATCGAAGCATGGTTATCCCGACGCTCCTCCTATGTACGGCGAATTATGTGGCAATCCAATTCCAGCGCCTGTTGCCTCTAGTAGTAAGTAGTTTGCCTCGATCATCCTAAAAGGAGCCATCTATTTGACACATTTTGTTGCAGCTTCAATACCAAATGCTCTGGGCAACGGACCCTGTATGGCCACCTGCCCCACGTGCCACAGTTGTCAGCTAACCACGGTCTCATACGAGCCCAATTCCAAGACGCATTTGGTGGCGCTGCTCCTGTGTTTGCTGGGGTAAGCAAATGCTATTTTAATCTGACTGCATCTTCTAAAAGGATGTTTCCTCCGTTTCTTCAGCTGCTTCTTGTGCTGCTGTATACCCTACTGTGCACAGTCCTGCCAGACAGCCGTGCACAAATGCGGTCGTTGTGGTGCCTACGTCGGCTCCTATCAGAATTGAGATCGATTTCATCACAAGCTAACAATATATATATATACACTGTATACACAGATATTCATATACTATATGCATATATAAGTTTGCAGAGCAAAGCACGACGTTTTTTTATCAAGCACGAAACCAATTTTCGCCGCCCTCAGGAAGATCGATAATTAACTTTACCCAAATTTGATTTATGTAGCTGAATATATGAATGATGTTTGACTGTGTGGAACCAAGATTTAAAAATAGATTTTAATACTATTATTGCTACTTATAATATGCCTGGGAATCGAGCCCGGATTCTCAATTAGTACAGAAATACATTTTTATCAAGTATAATAAACAAATGAAGCAAACCACATAAAAAAATCTAAAAAAAAAGGCAATTTCAAGAAATTTTTTCATGATTCAGAAAACCTCAGTTTATAATATTTTTATATATATTCTATAAAACGTACTTGCTAAGCTGAAAAAACCAATTATTGCAAAAATGGAACATTATCTTTTGAGGTTCGTCAAAATTTCGTGAATTGTTTAAAATATGATGATTAATATACTTATGTACTTTCACAATTTAAGAGATGATTTGAGGCGTCTGCTCGACTTGCATACGTCCTGCACATAGCTTGGATTCTTTATATTTGTATTAGCCGAGAGAGTTAACCACATAAGCTGTCTGTGATATAAGAGAGCCACCATATCAAATTTAGAGACAGAAGATCATGGAAAGCTTGCATTACACAACCTCTCAGATATATTCATTACTCAATGGGAGTTCGTGTTCAAGCATTGCAGGGGCAAAAATGTGTCAATATGGTTGCCAAGCGCATTTCCGGTTGCCTGCAAATAAATGCGATCCAATAAAAAATTCCCCAGTATTCGTTTTACAAAGAGCGGCTGATGAATCGCCAACGAAACGCAAATAAACAGCGGAGCAAAGCGTTAAGTTGGCAATAATTAAATGTGTTGGCAACTGTTGCTGAAAGTTTCGAGAGCTTTTTATCGGCATGTTGCTGCAACATGCGCGCTGGCAACATTGTTGCCAGACGCAGGCAAAACAACGAAGAGTACGAAATCGAAGCTGGTTACCAACGGACCTGTGCGCGGATAAACCCATCATGCAGAAGAACTTCCAGCAGCCTGGAGCAGCGGGCGGGGGCGGGGGCGGGAGCACGGGCATGAGCTATCAGTATGCGCAGGCGCAGCCACAGCCGCCCAGCTACGAGCAGGCAACGCACTTTCACGTGCCAGCACCTGCTCAGGTGGTCATCATACAACGTGAGTACAGAATGCTGCTCATTTGATTGAATGATTGATTGACTGATTGGAACACTTGCAGAACAGCCGCCGCCCGCTGTGGGACCGGATCCGTGCTACATTAGCTGTCCCCATTGTCATGTGCAGAAGCTGACGCGCGTCGAGTATTCGCCCAGTGTGCGCACCCATTGCATGGCCGCCCTGCTTTGCATAGTGGGGTAAGATAACGCAGACTCTGGTATCAGTATCTCTGCCTTTCTCTTATCTTATCGGTGTGCGCTTGTTTTTCTTACTCGTGCAGTCTCTGGTGCTTTGCCTGTTTGCCCTACTGCGCCACCAGCTGCATGAATGCGAATCATTTCTGCGGCAATTGCAACAAATTTGTGGGCGTCTATAGCAGCGATTAATAGCTTTATGCTAAACAACAATAAACGTAAACAATTTCGCAACACACACACACACATTTTTTGTTAGGTGTTAAGCGACACGCACACACATACTCGAACATACTACTCTGATGGAAAGCTACTTATTGTACCTATTAGGTAAACAAATAAGCACACAATCGGCGGGAAGCTTTCAACAATTGAGACAACAGAAACCTACCACAGAGCTGAGCGAACGGCTTTCATTGATAAGAGCCGATTGGGTGCGTCGCAGGTTTTCGTTTTCGTTCTTTTTTTTTCATGGCTAGCATTGACAGCGCCGACAGAGAATTTGTCATACTTCGGTCATACTCCAATTATGGAAAGTGTCTACCCGAAAGAGCCGCTGGAGGTGCCTAAAGAGGCGCACGAGGAGCCGGAGCAACAGCAGCTGTTGGCTCCACCAGCACCGCCCAGCTATGACCAGGCAACGGCCACGACCACGCCCACGCCTGCCCAGCCAACCGGACCCGGACCGGCAACAACAGCGACAAGCACCCATCACACGGTGATCGTGGTGCCCAGTTCGCCGTATGGGCCGGAGCCACAGGATGTACAGTGTCCGTTCTGCCACAATTACACGCGCACCCGCGTCTCCTACAGGCCCAACTCGCGCACCCACCTGATTGCGCTGGTGCTGTGCTTGCTGCAGTGAGTAATCGCCGTAATGGGCCACAGATAATTGTTGTTGTATGACTGTTGCGACACTTTTCCATTCTGCCAGACTCTACTGCTGCGTGTGCCTGCCCTACTGCATTTCCAGCTGCATGAACACCAATCACTACTGCGGCATGTGCGACCGCTACCTGGGCACCTATTTGCGCAAGTGACGCCCCCACCCCCCTCCCCCACACGCTTCCCACCCCCCGCACAGCCGGATGTGGAACTCCAATATGAACGTTTATCTGCAGCAGCAGCAGCAGCTTTGGCTAAAAATACAGAATTATACCTGAGATGCACACATACATACATATACACAGATACATTTAATTACATACATACATACATGTATGCACATATCTACCTGTATTTGAAGAGCAGGCATTTGTGTACCTTAGATAAATTGTTCAAATACATTTGTAGTTAGTATCTAAATTTCGTGTTTTTTTCGGTTGTGCAATTGTTGCAAAAGATTGCCAAAGTTGTTACTTGATTTTGTTGTTTACCCTGTAGCCATTTAAAATTGCCTAAAAGGTATATTGAAGTGCTGCAAAATATATTTAGGAATATATATAAATTGATAAAAATAGATTCGTAATCCGTTTTTAAAATTGTTTCGTGGATTATATATGCACTTAACTTTTGAAATGTCCAATCCATTTTCTCCCCAATTTAAAACGAAACCTTTTTTAAGGTTTAGCCTGGTTGCAAAAGATTGCCTAAGTTTTTACTTGATTTTGTTGTATACCCTGTAACAATTCAAAATGGCTAAAAAGGTATATTGAAGTGAAAAATATATTTCGGAGCCTTTACAGAATATATATATAAATTGATAAGAGTAGATTTGTAATTAGTTTTTGAACTTGTTTCTAGGATTATATATTTAACTTTTTAAATGTCCAATCCATTTTCTCCCCAATTTAAAACGAAACCTTTTTTAAGGTTTAGCCTTGGTGCAAAAATACATTTGTATGACATATCTTAGAACTTTAAATATGCTAAGTATCGGACTGTAAATACCAAAGTTATTCAAGAATGCATTTGCCTTAGTTTGAGCTGAGTTTGGGCTGACAGACGAAGTACAAAAAATAAGATTGTACTAGAAACTAAGTAAGAAGTATCTTCTAGTCGGGCACTCTAGAATGCCACACTCGTACCTGTTTTTCTTTTCGTTTTAGCTTTCAAGCTCGCTCTCCGCTGATCTCTGGCAGCTCTTTTGGCTAGCGCTAAACTTGAATTCAGTCGCGTGTTGAAAGTGAAACGAAAAAGACCACGGCGAGAGCGTGGATAGAGAGGAGAAGCGAGTAACAACGACGAGGTTTGAGACGACAATTAGCAAAGCAAACAAAGCTTTTGGGCTGTGATTTTGTCTCTCTGTTGTATCTGATTCATATTGAAGTTAAAGCTGAACTTCGCACCATGGAACAGAAGCGTGCCATGCTCTATCCGCAAGTGGATTTCAACACGCCAAGCGCTCCGCTGCCGACGCCAACAAACGAACTGTCTGCTGCCCAGCTCGGTGTGCCCATTGAAGCGCCGCCATCGTATGATGTGGCAATAGCAGCACATACTCCCGCTCCCGCTCCAGCGACGATTGTGATTGCGCAGCCGCAGCCACAACAACCACAAGAACCGCAACAGCTGGAGCCCACATTTGTGCAGACAGGTGAGTCCGGATGCGTGCAATTATGATTGCGAGAAATGTTTTTGAAAAAAAAAACAACTTGGTTGCAGGTCCCACGAATTTGGGTCCGAATCCCTGCCGCGTGCTGTGTCCCGCCTGTGGCGTTCAGAAGACCACTCGCATGACGCACACAGCCAACGCACGTACTCATATGGCCGCAGCGCTCATCTGCCTAGTGGGGTAAGTGGGAAGCCTCTAGAAGCTGAATTCGAAATCTAATCCAATTGCCAATTCCGTAGGTGGTGTGTCTGCGCCTGCTTTGTGCCCTATTGCATGAATAGCTGCCGCACGGGCAACCACTACTGCCGCAAGTGCAACACCTTTTTGGGTGTCTACAATCCGAAGGGTGTGAAATGATGCAGTCTGATGAGCGCAGTTAATTAAGATAAGATAAGCCAAACGTTGATCTAAATATATAAGCAGTCTCATATAACAGCTTAAACTGTCACTCTAACATCAGCTGTTTGTACTATATTATTTTAGCTACATATTTGTTTAAGAATATTATAATTAATCATGCATACAAATAAACTATGCATACATACATATGTACATACATGTGTGTGTTAAAAAACAAGTTGCGCTTGGTTTTCTGCTTGGCGGCCTTTGGGTTCCATTTTTGCGCGCAGCGTGGGCGCTATACGGCAGCTACGATACAGAGTTATTAAGCGTACATTATTATTATTAACCATACACACAGCAGACGTGTGAAGAAGTCCGAAACACAATGTAGATTCTTATTTGATTTGTTTAGGCGCGCTTTTCTTTTTTTTTTTATTTAAGGTTGCCAGATGCACAACCACAGAACGACACTTTTCAACACTTCTACGTCTATCGATAGCTGCCACCCGCACGCTGATTATATTCGCGGTATCGAACATGCAACAGTGTAGTAAAAGTTGTGCCAGAAATTTCTTAGTTTGTTGTTTATTAAATATAAGTTAAATCTATTAGTTAAAATGTTTGAAAAGAAAAAACAGGCTGAGCATAAGCCTAGGGATGATGGAGTTGAGCTAGAGAACCAGTTCATAATGCGTTTTCCCAAGGTAGGGCAACGTTCGCTTTCTTTTGACACATTTGACAATTTGCCACCTTTTGTAGCACCTGGCCACTGTGGTGCACGAGTCCATACAGGCAGGAAATATCAAGGACCGATTATCTATACAATTAGATCAGGATTTGCGGTATGGGGAAGTGCGGCTCGATGACCAATTGCTCTACGCAAAAATTGTGGACTTGCCGACAGTTATGGAGAGCTACAAGACGATAGACAATAAAAGTTTTTATAAATCAGCGGACATTTGCCAGTTGCTCATATGCAAGGAGGAGCCGGAGGATGAGACGGAGAAAGAGTCGCCCAACAAGAACAAGAAAAAGGATCCCAACAAGGTGGACAAAAAGTATTTGTGGCCCCATGGCATAACGCCGCCCTGCAAGAACGTGCGCAAACGACGCTTTCGCAAGACGTTGAAAAAGAAGAACGTGGAAACGCCGGAAATCGAGAAGGAAGTGAAGCATTTGCTGCGCATCGACAACGAGGCTGTGCGCGTCGATTACGAGATCATCAATGAGGAGGACAAGCCCAGCGATGAGCTGGATCAATCAGACATCAAGCCGTACAATGAGGCTGATGAGGATATGCAGGACGAGACCATGCATGCTAGCGATAAGACCCTCAATGAGAGCACCTCGCAGCGTGACATAAACGTGGAGTCGGATGACGATGAAACTAGCAATTTCGATTCACATCGGGCGCCCAATATGGGCGTAGCAGCTCATGATATATTCGGCGAAGAGGTCTCTACCACAGATGACGAAGACGAGCCCACATTGCCCGGCAATGATTCACGTGCACAGCGCCACGAACTGGAGGAATCCTCACGGTTGTCCGCCGATGATTCACGCATGTCCGATTTCTTTGGCGCTGCCAGCGGCAGTGGCGTTGGCGGTGGCGGGAGCAACAGTGGCGCTAAAATGGAACACAATGAGTTCAACAAGTCGATGTTTGGACGCGAAAACAGCAGTCCAAAGCTGAGTGCAGCTGGCTCCAGTTCGAATTTGGCTGCGCCCAGTGGCTTCTATGACAATCAGCTTATGACCAAGCGTGAGGAGTTCGAGAATCTGGAGTTCATGGATGAGCCACAACCTCAGTATACACAACAGCAAATCCATGAGAAGATCAATCAACTGACGCGCCAAATAAGCGAACTGAAGAATCAACAATTGCAAAAGTCAACTGAAATTGCGTCCATTCAGAATGCGACGCTGAAGCAGCGGATGCAGGAAACGCTAGATAATCTCTACACGCAGGTCATAGAGCGTGAGCTGGAGCTGAAGGACTTTGAGAATATGCTGGAGCAATAGATTTGATCATAGTTATAGTTAAGTTAAATGTGAATTAAAGGCTAAATGAAAACATGTATATACTTTACCCAAAATTAAGAAAAAATTGTATATGTAGATGTAGGACAAATGAGGTATATGTAAATATCGTCAATTTTCGTAATAAAAATGTGTTTTTAATATATATTTAAAATGGATGTTTCTAATTCATTGAGCTTAATAAAAACAAAAAACCAAAAACAAAATTTGTAAATAAACAAAGCATATTTTATCAGATACTTAGCGATGTTTTGCCTATCGATACATTGCCGCCGATATATCGATAGTGATTGCGGTAGTTCAGCAACATTTTGTGTTTATTCTCGCGTCACATACGGCAACTCCGCAACAATTTTCTATTTGGCCAGAAGACAATTGCAGAAAGTTTTCACCCGAAAAAAGCAGCTATAATTCGCCAATTGCAGATGAATGGAGTAATTAAGCTTAAATTGTGCATATTTTGTAAGCCAGCAGCGCTGCAGTGACCGTTTGCGAGCCTTTCTGTTGCTGTGCCCAGCAAGAGCAGCCACAACAACAGTAGCAGCAGCAGTGACAACAACAATTGCAAAAATTCGGCCAGCTGCATTTGTCATCTCTTTGGTCAGCGATATTATTATGGACAAAAAATCCTCGCCCGTGCGACGACAAAAGCGCCAAGCGAAAGTAATTGAGGAGAACTTCTGGGACTGCAGCGTCTGCACGTACAGGAACTCGGCGGAGGCGTTCAAGTGTCGCATGTGTGACGTGAGAAAAGGTGAGTGACCTCGATTTCGATTTAGAGGCAACTGCGACTGCGACGCCGCGTCAACGTCAACGCCAACGTCGCATTTGAATTGCGAGTAATTTGTAAAAAAAAAAACCCAATTGCTCATGTGATGTGGTGGCATCATAGTATCGCCCTCTCGTTTTACTGTTTATGCTTGGTCTCATTTTCCCTTTTCTTTTTTCTCCTGTTGCTGCTGCTGCGGTTGCTGCTAGGCACCTCGACGCGCAAACCGCGCCTGAACTCGGCGCTAGTCGCTCAGCAGGCGGCCACATTGCCCGGCGCCAGTGGTAACATGCCCAACGGCAAGCCGGCGTCCAGTTCGCGGCACGGCAGCGGGCACGACAGGCAGCGACACAAACGGTATCCAGCGCGTTTGAAGAACGTGGATCGCTCGACGGCGCAGACGCGTGAGGTGACCGTGAATTCGGTAACCGTTTTCATCACAGAATACAAGGCCAAGCCGGTGAGCAGCCGGCGTGAGTCGAGTGAACAGAGCTTCAGCGAGAGCAACGATAGCCGGAGTTAGGTTTAAATGATAAGCGCGTAATTTGTTTTCCCAATTACATCTTTTTTTTTTCTTTTATATATGTATTGAGATATATATATTTATATATACATATATGTTTAAAGATATTCTCTGTCGGCGAACGGCCGCGATTCCTTCCCCGTCCTCTCTCCACATACACACACAAATCCAATGTCGTCTTAGTGTACAACTAAAAATTGTAAATTCTAATATTAGGCCTAAGTACAATTGTAAATCTATAGCCTGTTCTTAAGTTAGCAAGTATTAAGCGATATTCATGTTCTGTAAAACAGCAGCCACAGCATCTGACGATGATCCCCATGCATAAGAACTTCCAATTGTACTGGCTTTTGTAGCTGATGACTGCATTTAAAAGACGCTGTGGTTCCGCTGCATTCTCGAACGAGAAACAATGTAATTGAATGTGAAGTCGAGAACCTTGTATATATATACATATATGTTTTATAACAAAACGAAATGAAAACAAACAACAACTGTCTCGTATTGTAATATTTGATTCCTAATTTATTGATTTGTAAACGCATCTTATACATACATATTTATATGTTCTACAAATCTATTGTTTATAAGTGTCAAATTGAAAATATAATTTGAATAAGTGCAAGTGCGAAATGTTCCATGTTCACGACTCGCCCATCCAATGGGCAGACAAAGCGACGGCGCTCGTTTATGTAAACAACACACAAAAAAAAATGTGAAAAAGAATACCTGATTCTCAATTTCTCTGTATAACTGTGTATGTAGGTGTATGTAGGTTGCAGCAGATCCAATAACCAAGTTCAAGTGTCTCCATTAAATGGTTTGTGTTTTCATTTTACTTGTTATGTATTATTATTAATTTACTAACAATAACATTTTTGCCTAGTTTAATGCTGCATGACAACGAAATGAGCCGTAGCCATGTGAATAATACTTAGAAAATTTGCTAATTTAAATGATTCTTGTTTTGTTTTTTGTTTTTGTATACAAGACTGATTAAGCAAATACCTAAAGACCATACTACTATAACGATAGCCCACACAGTTCAGTTCGTTTGTGTTGCCCTCGATAAGAACACACAACTAACAGGCCCAGAAAATAAACAATACAATAGTTGCAATAATTACAACCATTTTTTATACTTAGCAAACTTTTCAAGCTTGGCCATACAAATATATTATATATATATACACATATACATAGAACGTATTTAGCTGAATCAAAGAATTTTGATATACTTTTTAGTAATGGAAAAATGGGTTAGATATGCATGTTTTAAATTACTTTTAAAGTATTCCTCCAAACACATACACACACACGCACGCACACACACATGCACACATTCACCGTGCTCTTTAGCAAGTTGTTCACGTCTTTAAATTGGCAAAAGCTTTGCACGAAAAGCTCATTCAAAACTGCCGGACTGAGTAACATAGTCAAAAACAAAAACTTCCAAGAAACGAAGAAGAGATAAGAGCGTAAAAAGCAGCTTATAATATTTGTAATAAGTATTTAAAGTTCATAGTTTATATACTTAGCAAACAGTATACATAATTAAATCAAGGCTAGCCAAACAAATAAAACTAACTAATTAAAAATCACACACACACACACACACACACAAAACTTAAAAAAAAGAACTCAAATTTCAAATTGTGTTAAGCGTAAAAGTTTTAAATAAATTTCAAAAACTAAACCTTAAACATGTTGTCTTTAAAACGGCGCACGGCCCAAAGTGCCCCACCAGCCCTCCGCACCAAAAAAAAAAATATTATTCTCCAGCCTCCCCCCCCTTACAACTACCCCAACTGCGAGGGCCACCCACACGGCGCTAACTAAATGTATGCTTTCCTATGCGCGAGCTGTGTGTGTGTGTGTGTGTGTGTTGGCATCATCTGTATCTGCTGCTGCTGCTGCTGCTGCTGCTCCTTCGGCCTGGCACAGTTGCGCCATCGCCATCGCCATCTCTGGCTACGCCTTTGGCAGCTGCCTCAACTTTCGCACGCTTCGCAAATAAATTACAAATTGTTTCGTTCCAGCTTCGCAGCCGCCGCCGTCGCTGCTGCCGTCGCTGCCTTGCATTGCTACTACTTACACACTGCCACGCCCCACACACAGCGCCAGCCTCCCCATCCGCAGCTAGACATGCCCCAACTGCGGCCCCAACAATTCGTTTCAGTCGACGCTGACATTCGAAAATTTCGTTCGCTTTTCTCTAAAATGTTAAAATTCACAAGTCCTCCTCCATGGAGCGGCTGTGTCTGTCCGTTCGTTCGTCCGTCTGTCTGTCTATCCTGGACTGCCTCAGGCATTGGGTAGGTCCCCGCCTGCCCGGCACAAGTCCTGTTGCCGGCTAGCACAACTTGCGTTATCAGCGGCGCTCTGTGCGCTTATCTTCTTCATGTACGTTGTACGTTCTATTCGTTTCGTTTCGATTCGTTTCGTTTGTTTGGCTCGTCCTTCGTCCTGCGTCCTGCGTCCTTTGCTGCTGCCTGCCCGGCTGCCTTCTTATCCGTTTGTTTGTCCGTGCTTCCGACTCGTCTGTGCGACCGTTCGCACATCCTGCTCCACCCTAACTGCCCCGCCCCCCCTCCCCTCTTTTGCCCCGGCTGCTGCCTTTGTTACACTTGCTCCCTGCCTGTCCTCGTGTGCGTGTGTGTGTCCGTGTGTGTGTGTCTGTATTTGTGTCGTAGTCAGCAACAAAAATGTGCAGCATTTCGAAAATGTTAGAGACTCCTTTGGCTGCCTTGGCGTTAAGTTTTACATGACGCATACGCCGCATTGGCCCGCTGCGCTGTCCAGCAGAGCTGGCACAGGACCCAGCGCGATCGTCAAAACTGGACAGCATGCCCAACTAACAGCCCTTATACACACACACACACACACACACACACACACACACACACACACACATGCATATATTCTTATCTAGATATATATATATTCCCTAGAAAAGTTTTTAGCGAGCTGGGGCTGGGCAATGTGTAATCCCAGCAAGTAACTTGAGCGCTTTATGGCACGTGTTTGTAACTGTGTGCGTGCGTGTGAGGGGGGGATGGATTGGCCCCCCCTCGCACCCCCTCGCACCCGCCTAGCACTTCTTAAAGCTCTCACGCACTTTAAGCTCGACGGCGGCGCACATCGCGCGCGTTTTTAAAGTTTTGCGCGTTTTAGGCATTATCCGTTTTAATTACATTAAAAGTTTTTGGCATTAAATAAATTGAAGCTGAGCGCTGAACTTATGTCACTTTGATCCCAGTTACAGAGCAAAAGTAACTTTTGCTGTTCATGCGAGAAATGCCCCCCCTTCTATTCTCAGAGACAATGGAGCAGGACACAAAGCTACCCTCCAGCCGCGCTATCCCCTAAAAACACACACACACACAGAAACAAGTCCTTCTCTATCTCCTGGCAGTTGCTGCTCAGTGAGTCGCGCGTAATCAAGTTTAGTGTTTAAGGCTTTAAATTGAAATTCCGGCATTAGACAAGGAATGCGACTACAGCAACTGCTGCTGTTCGTTGTCTTGGCAAAAGGGGGTTGTGTCTGCGTGTGTGTGTGTGTGTGTGTGGGGCTTAAAGGGGTTGAGAATTTGATCCGCTCTGCGTTTATCTGACGCCGCGCTGCGCATAGCTGCAACAAATGAGCAACAAATTGCAATCATTGAGCGCAGCGCACGGCCCATAAATCAATTACACAGGTAAAACGCCAAGGGGTTGGGCCGAGGGGTGACCGAGGGGTGGTCAAGGGCTGCCAATAGCCGCCGTTGGCTGCATGAATCGCGGCCCTAATTAAATCATTATCGACACGAGCAAGGACGAGCGAGCGTATTCATTCAAAACTATCGACACAAGTTGGCACAAGGCTCCCAACTGAAGCAATGTCAACCCCCCAATCCTTGTTGCTCCGCTGCTGCTGCTGCTGCTGCTAGCGTCGCAGTCGCCGTCGGCGTCGCTGTCGACGTCAACGTCATTGTATTTATTTCTCATGTTAAAATCAAATTCCCGCGTGTGCAATTTTTCATTTGGCCTGAAAATGAAAAGGAAGTGGAAAAATGTGTTAAGGTGCGTGCGTGCGAGCGTGTGTGTGTGTGCGTGTGTGTGTGTGTGCTTCTTGGGGGTTGCAGAGCTGCTTCCGGCGTGCTGTCCCTGCGCCGACATCAGGCTCCACGTAATGTCTGTAATGCCAGAGCCTTAAAGCGAGCTGCAAAGCTGCCAACTTTAAAGACTGCAGCGCATTCAAAAATTGCCAAGCGGCAGAGGCAGAGGCAGAGGCAGCCGATGCCGACAGGTACCAAATAACATGCCGCATGAGGCATGCTGCCTGTCTTGAACGCCCACACACACAGACACACGCACACACAACTTGCGCTCTAAACAAAACAAAATGCGTTGGCAAAGCGCTGGAGTAGACGCTGCCAGGGGTCGGTGGCAGAGACGCGGGCAGAGGCAGCTGGCGTCGACGACGACAGCAAAAGCAACGTCATTTTTGTTGCTGCCACAGCCGCCTGCTGCCTGCTGCCTGCTGCCTGCCGCCTGTAAGGATAAGAACAGGGACGAGAACGAAGTCGAGGACGACGACGAGGGCGAGGACAAGAACGGGCAGACACGACACCAAGTGTACAATAGCTTTAAGCTTAAACTCTCGCACACTCACACGCACACACACACACACAGACAGACAGCGACACAAAGTTGCGCACACACACATGCACACACACAGCTACACTTATGCTCACAGTATATTTTATAATACAGGGCCACGAGCATTTCGAAAATGTATCCAAACGCACGAAAGCCTTGATGTCTGTGAAGCTATTGCTGCCTCACCCTGTGCCCCGGCCCCTGGTAGAATTCTTCAGCTTGGAGTCAGTGCGGCTCTGGACACCAACTGGAACGCCCTGTATGCACGGGGAAAATTCACGGACGAGCGCTATATGTCCAAGTCCAAGAAAGAAAAATACTTGCCATGCGACAACATAGCCAGCGACCAGGGCTGCACAAGCCCCGGCCGGCTTGAGGCCAGCCGGAGCCGAAGGCAAATGGAGCCCAGAAACAGCTGTGCCAACAGGAAAAGCCCCGAAATGTTCGGCTAAAACAACATTATGTCATATATATATTTTTTGTTGACTTAGCTAATAACTGTGCGGATATTTTTGGTGCGCGACTAAAAAAGAAGCAAAGTAGAGAAATTGAAAAAGTATGGCAAAATCCGTATCAGACCTGGCATACCTGTTGGGTCATTTATAAATTATAGTTATATCTGATGTGGGACAGCTATCGAAATCTAAGCTCTATTTTTAGCTGCCCCTTTTCAAACTCTGCCACAGTTTCGAGTCGCAGCGAATACAACGGCAAATTCTGTTGAAAGAAAACAAAAACCTTATCAAGAAACAAAACTTAAATGATATTTTAGTTTGTACAGCTGACAAGCTGATAAGAATTAGACGTACACTGAGAAAAATACCCAAATGCAAGTCCTAGAGGCGGA